ATTACGCCCCGCGGGAAACACCGGCGGTAATAAAATTTTCAACTTTAGATACCTAAGCTCTATTTTAACTGGATTAATGTGTCTGGCGCTTCTTCTTTGATTTAAAATAGAATGAATTCTCCTTATGATTCTGGCTATATGTTCGTTCACTCTTAAAACATGCAATTGATTTTGATGCCGTTTTCACCATCAGCTAGATAATTTTTCAATGAAAGTTTGTTCATGTAAAAAAACCTCCGTATTTTTCTATTAAAGTAGAAATAAACCATATTTGGCATATACGTCGTAAAAAATAAATTTATTATATCTTTAGTTACATTATATCTTAGGAAATCATAAACAGTACACTTATACGGAACTAACGACAGACAGTTAATTGCAAATTAAATTATGGTAATCATGGTACACATTTCTAATAGAAAGGTAATTACTAGCGATAACACCTTACAACACACTAAATTGACTCTTATAAAGATCTAATAAGCTAAATAAAGACTTCTCCTTATCTTATTTCTTAAAAATCTCTAAATTTAGCTTTAAATACTGAGGTTTTCCTTCTCTATAGCTAACCTCTATCGCTAATCTATCTCTATAGCTAATCGTCCCACGACGTCCTTTGCTAGTACTGTGAGAAGTTCTTACAACACCAGCAAAGTTAAAATATATTCTTTTTAATGATCTTTATTTTATTTATTTATTTATTGCTGGGAAACTCAATAGCTTTTTTACATTATACATTCATAATTTACATTAAATCAATTTCTTAGGCATATATATACGCGCTATATAAAACTAGAAAATAAAGAATCTTATAACATTACAATAATAATAATAACAAACATAAAATAAATAATTCTCAGTCAAATCGAATCAAATCAAATTAAATTCAACCAGACCAAATCAAATCAAATCAAACTAAATCAATTCGATTCAATCAAACTAGACATAATCAAATAAAATTAGACTAAACTGACTCAAATTAAGATACACTGATTGATACTTGGTCAATAGAAAATGGTGGTAAAATTGGTTAAAATAGATGTCTTAAATAGTCGTCCCATGATTATTTTTTAATTTCAATTTGATACCTAAACGCATTCGTATGTATCAATGCCGTATTAAAATAAGAATATATTGAACCACTTCTGTTTTGCGAAGTCGGTTAGTATTATCACTATGAGCGTTATTGTTGTTTAATAAAAAATAAACAAAACAAAATGCGTGCCCTCTGTTTTGGAAGGTTTTTCTCGTTTTTTTTTCCTACCATTCAATGATCCCGATAACGGGACTACCACTTTCTGACAAAAAATATTGTTTAAATCGATCAATTTCAAAAATTGTTCACATACGAGTAATATAAAAAAATACAGACAGGCGAATGTAAGGAGAGATGAAATCATGATTTGACTCGTAGTTTCCTTTTTTGAAGTATCAAAATACAGAGTACTTTTGTATTGGGCATTATTTATTTCTAAAAGTAATACACTAATGTATCCATAAATACCCCTATATCCTCTAAAAGCATTGAGACGTACCAATTAACCAGACAATTAAAGCAAATTTCATTCAATATTTATAATAGGAAAAAAAACTCACGCCCACCAATTTCTTTTTGTGAAAAACTGTTTTACAGAATCGCTTGCGGAATCCGTTTTCTTCATGAACGTAGCTCCAAAGTCTTTCAATGAACCTATTAAATTTTGCCATGTTTTTTCTGCATCATTCCAGCTAAAAGATTCCACGCCGTATATAAGCCCAATTGAGATGACCTGGAATGAAAATATACATTTTTACTGTTCGTGTATTAACGTATTAATATCATAGCCGAGCATTTAACTTCTCACTTTACATCTCTCTTGTATGAAATCGTGTTAAAGATTAAGTAATATTCACCAATAATATCAAAGACGTCAAGTTCCGACACATGTTTATTTAGAGTACAAATTTTCTGTAAAATATACTGTTGTATTTACTATCACTTTTTCACGGCGTACTAAAATTTAGAACTTAGATAAATACGGATAAGTTTACGAGTATGTCCATGGAATTACATCAAAACTTGATTTATTATCACCGGTCTTGACATTATTTATATCGTAGATTTCAAATGGAAGTGTCGATTTTTAATAAAATAATGTTATTAAAACTATATAGTCAATAAATCAATGGAATGTCAAGAACAGATTATTCGATTATCATCTAAAATGGTTACTTTATCAATCCAAAGAAAATAATATAGTATAACATATTAACACGAACCTATGGAATGTGCTGAATAGTTATCATTAATGTTATCATAACAAATCAGCAGTTATTGTCACGTCCCAGAAATGTATGAAGTGTTGTATAAACTACATTGAAAACGCAAAGAATGTTAACTATAAACTATTGTAAATGTAAGAATTGATAAATAAGCAAATTTTCAATTAGAATCAAGAAACTTTCGGAAACGAATTATACTACATTTTTTAATTAAAAAATCTTAAAATGTATTCATGTAAGGAATGATTATTATTACAAACCCTATTGATATAGGGTTTGTAATGTAATAACCCGTCTGGCCAGCGTGCTATAGTAGGCCAAAACCCCCTTTCTAAGGAGACGCCTATGTCCAGCAGTGCACTATTAAAGGCTGTTGATGATGATGATAAATGATTTTTTAAAAAACGACGTGGGTTGAAATAACATGCAGTGACGAGAATTGAGATAGATATGCTGCAGTGGTTTGGGCCTGTTGAAAGGATAATCGAAGGGCGAATGACTATTAGAGTTTATAAGGCCCTGTGAGTGACGTAGGCCTCGTTAAAAATATTAGTAAACAGCGAGTGTTTTTGAAAGATCTTGTGGAATGTGGAAAAGGCGCGAGCTTTCTATCAGGCTCCCTAAAAAGGTTTTCTACCATTTCTACCTACCCCGAACAGGAATACTCAAGTAAGTATGTAACAATACGACCAGCGAAACTTACTGAGTCAGCATTCTCCCTGACAAAGTAAGTATGTATATTCATATCAATAAAATATACCTATATGTTTTTCCTCTAGTTTTTCTTACTAACCATAATACTGAGCCAAATATTATAAAGGTGTAAGTGAATTTGTTTCTTTGTTGCTCTTTCACGCCTAAACTATTAAACTAATCATGAAAATTTTTACACACATTAGCAAGAATACAGAAAAAGACAACGAGTACCGCTGACTAACGAATGTTCCAAAGGGATTGAAAACCTCAAACGTGAGCACAGCCGCGGATTCAAGCTAGTTTTAGTGTATAAACACTGGTTACAAGTGCAATGCCACTTTAATACATATATTGGGTATAAAAACCGAAATTTACAAACTCCATGAATCGTGTGATAAGTGGTTAAATATACAACAGGAAATAAAAGGGCTACTGATATGAGGTATCTTAGTCGCAAAACAAGTTTTTATGGAATTCATGTTATCAAATGTCAATTATACGTGTACAGACGATTCTAAATTATTGTTATGTGCATGAAAATAGATATGAATGCAATATAAATTGGGAACGAGAACCATTCTGAAGACAACCGCAAACATGACGTTCAAGGTAAGACAGTTTTACTTATTTATTTTATACAAAAAAAGTATTATATGGATGCACAAAATATTTTTACAAAATATTTTTAATATCAGTTATGGAATTCTTAACGATGTTAGTTTACAGCCTTATGAATTAATCTCCCCCAATAAGAAATGCAGACACAAAACATGCATCGCTGGTCACATTAAAAATGTAGAATGTATTGAATATTTCAAGTTTTTTAGATATGAAAAATATATTACTTACCTTACAAAAAGACTCGATATAGTTAAACCAATATCTTATACCATAATTATAATTGATAGAAGCAATGTTAATAAAAAAAAAAACTTACAAATCATAATGTCTTTTTTAAATTTTATTCTATACATACGCTTTTTCTTCGAGATTGACTACCAGCTAAGCCCGATTAAATATCTCTTGAGGCTCCGGCGATCCTATTTATATACAGATTTACGATATTAAGCAAGCTGATGTCATAACAGCTTTGAGGCCTCGTCAATATACTTCTTTTTAATTTAATATGTATTACCTCTATTTTTTACGTGTAAAAACCACCTCGGGCCGTTACCCTACCGGGGCGGGGGGGTACTTGCAGCGGGGTGGTGTGTCGGGATCAGACCGACTAAAACCACACGATGTGCCACTCTACGCCTGTAATAGGAGGGATCCAAACTGCTGTTATTAAGACATCCGGTCCCATCCTAGCGCCTGCCCGCAACGGCGCGGGCACCATCTTCGGGTACATTCTCTATTTTGTGTGACGTCCGGCACATGCGGACGCAGCCTCCTCGCGGAATATGTATTACCTCTAAGTCAGCCTTGTATAAGCAAAACAACATTGGTATTGGTATTGGTATTGGTTGTGGGCTTCGGTTTCCGCATTTAGACTCAGAGTGGTCCTTTATGCGTCGAGGATTGGTTGACTAGGTGAGCCAGCCAAGCTCCTTCCAGAAGCGCAGAAGCCTCCTGGGGTGTTCACAGGCTTCTAGGAGCGACTTTGTATCAGGAATGATACTTGCCCGTTGTGTGGCCACTCCCTCGCATTCCAGGACTACGTGGACGGCCGTTTCTTCAGCTTCCAGACATCCCCTGCACAGGGGACTGTCCGTCGTATTGATTATGAATAGTTGTCGGTTCAGGGCTAGATGTCCTGTAATAGTTCCGACAACCGTTCTGATTTCCGGTCTGCTAAGACTGATCAGTCTGCAGGTGAGTCGTGGTGTGACTTGATTCAGCACCAGTTTGGACTGTCTGCAGCCGGGTGAGTTTTTCCACCTCCGGTTGTGTGCTTCACAGGTCCATTGCCTGACCCAGCATCGTATTTGGTTAAACGATATGGGCAGGAGTGGGGTTGGGCCAGAGGTTGGGGTTGCCGAGCCCCTCCAAGCAAAACAACATAAGAACTGGGAAAAGTATCTAGCAAGATTATACAGACAATGTGTACAAAAATATTTTTAAATTCCCAATACATCATTTCTACATTTCAGGTAAAAATCTTCACTGTCCTGCTCTTCATTTGCCTCATAGACTCGCTGCATTCAGCCTCATACGGGCGAATAAAGCGTAGTGAAAACTCGGAAGAAGAACATGAAACAATAAAATTGTCAGAGGAAGAAAAGGAGGTAGTACCCCCTAAGACCAAAGAACCAGAAGCATCTGTCGGTAATGATTCAAAACCATCACCCTTCGATTTTAATGTCCTCCTCCAAAATTTAGGTCAAATTGTCAACAAGAATAATGACTGGTCGAAGGAGTTTAATACTTGGTTTGGTAGAGGCAAGTAGAGGACATCCTGGTTACATCATATAAATCAAAATCATTTAAATAAAATAAATTGTATATTATGTCTGAATGCCTTTTTATTCTTAAAAGACGTTGTAGTTTCCCATGCATGGTTTGTTACGTGTTCAAAACGTACAATGTCTATTCTATAATTTGGTCAAATTGAGTCAAGTGCACTAATCCTAGGAGAAAGCATGAATTATCATCACCTTATAGGTCATTTTACGCAGTCTCATTGTTTCAGTTCTTTTTTCTTTATTTATTACTAACTTTTGTCCGCGGCTCCGCCCGCGTGTATGTCCGGTATAGCGGTAAAAGTAGCCTATGCTACTCGCTGATACATTATCAGCGAGTAGCATTTAGTGCTTTCCATTGGTGAAAGAACTGTTAATATTGGTTTAGTGGTTTAGGCGTGAAAGCGTTATTAACAAACAAACTCTTTCACATTTATAATAGAAGTATGGATTAACTGAAATTTACATTGTACTCTACAGTTGCTGAAAGCACGCTATAAACTATTTTAAAAGAAATTGAGTAAACATAAATAACACAAACGTTTTGTACAAAAAACACACTAGAACATATTATGTACAATATCGGGTTAGACACAGGTATAAATAATCAGGTTTTGGTTTGGACAGTGGTATATTCCGTCTTAAATTCAGGGACAGGGCGTAAGGTGCAAAGGAGATGACTCCTTTCAGTTTAATTACTAAAATTAGTACCTACCTTTGTAAGAAAATTAGTGCCGGTACATTAAACACATTGTCTACAATTACATCTTCGACAAGCATAAGTATTCCTAAGTGGAGATGCAAATGTCCTTAGAAGCCGTAACAGAGCCGTATGATTATTATGATACTTAGTGGTCTATAATTGCTTGACTATGACATACTTCTATAAAGACACGAATAGTTAACGCCATATCAACTATACATGAATTTAAATTTTATTATTATATCCTACTTACAGCTCAATTGTAGCAAAAATAGCTTATATACTACTTTTCAATTAGTTCAAGTACTTGTGATGAAGATTTTTATTTCAATTAACTTAAGTAAGTGTAGTTACAAATTAGGCACATAGTACTGTGTTACATACCAAATAAAAGGGCGTGTTTGGCACATAAATTCGGAAAATATCATTTTAAGTACATGAATTGAGAGGCGCGCCTTGAATGAGGGTTGGGGAATTGAGGGCCGAAGACCTTTGAAGAGTACAATACGAATACTGTAGTTTTCACACACGAGTGGGTCATCTACAACCCGTAGATCTGCGGTCTGTCGGGGTACCTGGCCGTCCCGGCTACTGCGTTTTTTAATCAGTTGGAGTCCGATATAACCACCCCACCGGTGGGCAGTATCCGAGAAAAAAAAAGATACTTGAATTGAGTATTCTTCTTCTCAATACAATTAATACACATATCTCACACACGGCATTTTGATCCTAAACTAGGCAGAGCCTAAACTACGGTAACAAGATTCCTTTTTGAAATTTTACTGCTCAATTGCTCGGTGAAAAGCAGCAAGTCGAGCCTGGCCCATTTGGCTCTCCCATGATAAGGCTACTGACTGCACGGATGGCGTAGTGGTTTAAGCGATCGCCACGCCGCTTACTTCTACGCTGAGTGTTGTGGGTCCGATTCCCACATGGGACGACACTTTGTGTGATCCACAAATTGTCGTTCTAAGTCTAGGTGTTCTTTGTCTCCGTTTCATGTATGTTTGTAAAGTCCTAATGTTGTCCCTTTTACAAAAAAATAATATATAGTTTTTAACATACGTGTATTATAGCTAAAAAAAACACCCAGACACAGAAAATAGGACCTCTACAATTTTTTGGTAAAGATCGATGAAGAACTACGAGAAACGAAAAAAACTTAGTGTTAAAGTAAAGGAAGAGAACTTTGTCACTTTAGAGTAGATAACAGTATAGAGTTTTCAAGATGGATCTTAGAAGCCCAAACTTAAGGCTTTACCAGTAGCTACTAAAAAGCTTCAGTATTAACCTTCTGGTTTCTTCAACCAAAATTATAGTATTGTTATACAAACTACATACGTAGGCAAAGTTTTATTTCCAATTGGAAGTAAGTTGAAATTGACTACTGATACTTGATTAGACGTTGTTAATAATAAAATAACAAATTCCTATTATTTTATCTGATATATTACATGTTTCTGTAATGTGTAAATACTATACTTGCTATTGTTATTTAAGTAGGCACCATTTTTTCTTTAGTTTCCTCCAAAAAAATAGAACAAAATTGTTTTTTCATTTAAGTTGAAAGTATGAAATTGCCGATTTGCACAAAAAAATTTAATATCGTTTTTTTCTTAGATCTAAGATATTTATTTAATTATATGATTAAATAATACATTTCGGCCATCTAAACGGAAGTTCATTTACGCCTAGATATGATCTACATGCCGCAAACTGTGTGAAGTCATTTTGTACTGCCTCCTGGGAAGATTTTTTTTATCACTTAGAAAATTGTACAGATCACGAAAAAAATGGTAGCCCGTTGGAGCAAGGTCTGGCGAGTACGGAAGATGACGTATGGTTTCTAACTGCAGCTCCTGTTTTAACAGTTCTCCTCCTCCAGCGGTTACTCGTGCCGTGTGAGGTCTTGCGTTATCATGGAGCAATAACGGTGAAGATCGATTCACGAGTCGGGGCTGTTTCACTGCCACTTTCGCAATGATTGTTCGAAGTTCGGCACAATAAACATCTGCTGTTATTGCCTGACCAGACCTGAGAAAATAACACTATGAAGAGACCACCAAACAGTAACCATTATCTTTTTATTGGTAAGCTTTACTTTAGGGAACTGTCGCGGCGTTTGACCTGGGGTCAGCCATTGTATTTTTCGATTACGGTTATCATAAACAATCCACTTTTCATCACATGCTACAATTCGATCCAATATTCCTTCATTTCTGTACTTTCAACAGGCTAAGTTCATGTCACATCATGAGGCACCCCCATCATGAGGCAACAAACATTTTGATTTTGGTTCTTGTTTGGTACCTAAAAGACTAACTAAAAATACTCTAGATTTTTTTTACAAATGACAGAGGTTATTGAATCACCAAGCAGTCCATGTTTGTCTATGGCAGACTAATAAGTTACACAATTAACATACAATCTAAAATCTCAAGAAAGAAATTAGTAGGTAGGTTAGGTAGGCACCTGCAACCGATCACAATATCGTATTTTCCCAGTCGAAACCGATAAGAGTAATGAAGGTGCCATTATCTATACTGCCAATACTTAAAATTTAAGGAGAAGTTAACAGGAAGCAACGTATTTTGAAATTAGAAATTGGAAGTACCTTACAATTTATTATAATGAAAGTATTGCACCAACATAAACTTAGTGCTTAAGCTATTACTCTTTTCCACCGTTATAAAATAAATGTAAAACTTTTCATTACTGTTTAAAATACTGTAGAGATTTAAAGTACCTTCAGCAATTATGTAAATGTTTAAAATATTTTTAAAATACTGGCGCATAACACATTGAAAACAAGAAACAGAACGTTAGTGAAACCAGACTTTAAATACCTAAAAGCAATTATACAAAATGCAAATTGCAAAAGTGTAGCGATAAAAATTCTCGTCAACTGATAATTTTAATTGGTGTCGTCTTTTAAATACTGTTCTTTACGATTTGTCCCATATATAACACCAAAATCCTGTACTTTATAACAGTTCCACTCAAGTAAAACAATGGACAAAAGTCAATACTTGGTGATATTTCTGCTTTTAATAAATGGAACTTTCGCCGAATATGAGAAAGTAAATGACCACATCGAGTACGAGGAAAACTCTTGGCGTCCAATTTTAGGACCTTATAAAGATCGATTGAAGCCTCTAAAAGTTACGCCAAAGTATGAAGACAAATATCTTCTTCAAGGTATAGGAGAGAAGCCATATGCGTCAACATTTCCTATTCAAGGGCTTTATACGTTTCCATATTACGCCTACAGTTATATGCCTCCTCACGCAACAGCTTTGGGGTCATATATTAATAACTATGACTATAATTATTATATCAGAAAGCATGAAAAACCATATGTGCCCGAATATAAAAATTAATTATATTTTTTTTAGGTCGCAAGGTCTGTAATTTCTTAAAAGTTTAAAATAAAATTATGTTTAATAAAGACATTTTGCTTTTCTTGTAATATTTTTTATAATCGTAGATACTAACTAAGTTTTTATCTACATTAACTCAATGATCTACGTAAATAAAAATAACTCCAAATGTGTTGCTAAGTGCAAACTCGACAACGGCTCGACCAATTCGGCTAACTTTCTTTTTTCTATTTACGAGTAGCTTAAGGCTCAAGGAAGACGCCAGGCGAAAAAACATAAAAATAGGAAAGGAAATAGTAAAAACAACACATACAAACCACAGAGTAATTAAAACACCTATATAGTTTTCAAACATTTGACGTCAATCAACACAAAACTATGGAGGGTAGAGGCAAGAAGAACCATCTCTGTGCGAAAATGACCGAGATCAATCTGGCATTAACGAAGTCCGAATTTGCACGGACGGTTCCAAGACTAGGTCAGGGACTGGAGCCGGAGTTTTCTCGCAAGACCTAAATATGAACATATCACTAGCGTTAGGCCAACACAGATCCATATTCCAATGCGAATAATAACTTACGCCGCCACAACGGCCACGTCAAGAGGTATCAAGGACTATAACATCCGAATACTATCCAACAGCATGGCCGTCCTAAAGGCACTAGAGGGCAACACAATGACCTCTGGTATTGTCTTCGAATGCCATCAAGCATTGGAGCAGCTTGCCACATTAAATGTGGTACTCTTCCAATGGATTAAAGGGCACAGTAACCCACACGGGAACGATTCCGCAGATGAGTTAGCAAGGAGGGGCTCGGCAACCCCAGCTATCGGCTCAACCATACTCCTGCCAATACCGTTTAACCAAATACGATTCTGGGCCAGGCACGGACTCCTAAAGCACACTACCGGAGGTGGAAAAACTCACCCGGCTGCAGACAGTCCAAACTGGTGCTGACTCAAGTCACACCACGACTTACCTGCAGATTGATTAGTCTTAGCAGACTAGGAATCCGAATAGTTGTCGAAACTATAACAGGACACCTAGCCTTGAACCGACACCTATTTATCATCAATGCGATGGACAGCCCTCTGTACAGGGGATGTCTGGAAGCAGAAGAAACGACCGCCCACGTAGTCCTGGAATGCAAGGGAGTGGCCACACAACGGGCAAGTATCATTCCTGATACAAAATCGCTCCTAGAAGCCTGTGAACGCCCTAGGAGGTTTCTGCGCTTCCGGAAGGAGCTTGGTTGGCTCACACACACTTTTGAGTCTAAATGCGGCAACCGAAGCCCACAAACAATACCAATACTATTTCTGTGTTCGAAAAGTGTCCGTGAAAACGCGTTCTTTAAGGATGACCATGTGCCTTGGATAAAATATTGGCTTAAATAATAATTAGACACTGTGTACTAGACTGCGAAAATAGTCAATGAGTTTTACAGCTATGTTCAAATTATAGTTTTTCGTATTCTATTTTCGGTATACAGATGGACACTATTTTAACTTTCTCCAATAAGAGATGGTTCTCCTTGTCTCTTCACTCCATAAACCAAACAAAGGCGCGTTCGGATTATAATCTTTGGTATGCATACAAATGGCTATATGGACCAAAATAAAGTTAAAAAAAAAAGTAATCACTCCGAAATACGTTGTTATCTTTTAAATCAACTGCGACAGGCTAAATCTTTTATACACAACGAAGTCTGTCGCGGCAGCTAGAATATGTCGCATGATGCATCTAAAAGTCGTTTACAAAAAAACACTTTTTCCTACACAGTCTGACAAAGTTTAAAAAAAAACAGATTCACTACTCAACGGAAAAAACACTTTTGTAGAATAACTCAACAATCGCCTATTTCAAGCATTTATTATTTAAAAAAATATATATTTATTACACTAAATACTTACATGTTTATAATTACATTCTTTGTCCCCCAAAATGGGGTTGATGGTATGACTGGGTGATCAAGTTTCCGTACAATTTGTCTTATTTGGATAATTAAATTATTTATAAACTATTACTTATAGGTGGGTCATATTCAAAATAATTGTAATTAACAGACAAGAAACTGAGAGGAAAGTCATATAGTCATAACAGAAAATGTAACGGAGAGGAACTAAAAGGGTAAGTTTTGATAATACCACATTTTCGAAGAAATGATAACTTAATTCTGTTTTTTTTTTTGGTAATAGGTACCAGAAACAAAAAAAAATATGTACAATAAAATCAATCTAATTCATTAGTTGAACCTTCATTAGGCTGTTGATCGCGAAACCTATGGCGATGTAAAAATCGGCCATAAATTATAATAATATATATAATTCGATAATCAGTCTTAAACAATCAATAGTATCTATTAAATGATTAAAAAAAAACATTTAGTAACAATTTATAATAGTGTACAATAAAAACACCTTTCAATTTCCTTTCTTTTCTTTTAACCTATATATATATATATATATATATATATATATATATATATATATATATATTATGTTGCTATCGGTTTTTGAGGTAGACGGAACTGGGTCTTGCCACTTTAAGATCACATCAATAGTCACTTGAAGATATGATATAGCTTTTGGCACCACTTAACAAATCTCTTAATTTTTATCATCATAGTAAATTCGAACACTTGACAGTACTGTTACTGTAGAATTTGGTGAACAGATTAATTTTAATGGATGCGAGTATGTTTAGTCACAGCAACATCGAAGCTATCATCAGATGAACTTGACAAAATTCTTCTGGAATCTTTTTTAGTTATGTTTATTAAGGGCTGACAATTGCAAAATCCTTTTTTGTTTGTATCAGCACAGAAACAACTTAAAACACGGGAATAACACAAAATAGTGTGTCAGTAGTTTGAATTTGGTGTATTTTCATGGTATTTGGTACTGGCTTAAGGCGAAACAGATAGTGTACATATTACCTTGCCTATTTAATTGTACATATTACTGGATATGTACAATTAAATAGGCTACTAAAATCGTTACCCTTCCTTTTTTGCTTTGCTGTAACATGATTAAACCATTATGTAAAAATCTAAAATTTCATAACAAAACAAACAAATTAAAGTTAAACTTTAATTTGTTTACTATACACTTGTTCTAGAAGAAGTCAAGGACCGTGTATAAATTTTATGAATGTAGATAATAGCAAAGCGATTTAAATTTTACCTGCTTTGCAATATTTGTCGGTTCGCCTTTTATACTAGCTACTCAAAACTTTAAATAGTTTAAACAAATTATGTATAAAAGTAAACCAAAGAAAATAATACCAATAACACTACTTGTTATTAAATCTTGCATCTTTTCATTTATCTATAACCTCTTAATGTTGTACTAAACATCATCTACAGCAAATTAGCAGAAAAGAATCAAGCTACTTGTAAACAATCTTTTCAACGATATTTTTCCATAAAATTAATACTTTTATTTACCGGTTTTTTAAATATGATACGATCTCACAATTAAACACAAACAGTAAATATTCTATTAATACATATTATACATATGTTGTGGTTTTCCATGCACACTATACTAACATTTCACACAGATATATTAAAGATGATATCATAACTTCCAAGCTAACATTATAAATGTGGGTAAGTAAATTTGTTACATTTTTAAACTTTAACTACTGCACAGTTTACATATTTAATTTTATGGTTATGACAAGTTTAGAACCAAATGCGCGGCAGATCGAACAGTCAAAATTATATGAGTAGAACACTTTTGTTTATATTCACGTTTATTATTTTAAAACTTGTAGTCTGCATTATATTATACAATGTTGACTACAAGTATTCAAGTTATCAGATTTTTTAAACAAAAAATACAGTTTTTTGTCTACTCAGCGAGTTCCGAACAGCGATATTCATTATAATATTATTTAACTCTCGATGGGGAAAGTTGTAACGAGATGTTTCTGTTGCGAAAATATATAGACTGTAGCTCCAACCATTTGGTTACAAAACCTATCTGATAGACGACGGACAGACGAACACGTGAGTGACAGTAGTAGGGCTTCATTTGGACCCTTCAACTCGGAACACTGAAATGAAAAGTAAACGGGACTTCCCCTTTACTTTTCAATAACAAAATATTAAGGAATAGCCTAGAGACTACGTGACTTGGTACTTAACTTAAAAATTATCACCAGGCTGCGAAATAAACTTACGTAATGCTAATGTGTAACACTTTGATACATATTTAGCTAAGAATAAACACGAATACTCCAAGCCTTTGAGTATTTTTTCTTTGAATCTTTATATTAAGCCAATTTATCGATTATTGAAGGTAATTTTGACCCCACATAACACTTCAATCTAGATATAACAGTAACAACAATTATTTATTTACGTTGTAATATTTAGATTTTCAAATCCGCGGTGATTTTTGTCATAATTTTTCATGTTCTTGCAACATCTGTTGAATAATTTTGACGTTTACATTCATTGTAAATTTTCGAACAAATTCAACTTTCCTGATGTTTATCAAATTTGTAGGAAGGGAGAGGAAACTAAGTTTGACAAGAAAATAATGACACCAAGGAAGCAATATGGTATTATAGATATTTAAAACTGATGCCAAAAACATGAACAAAACCTCATCTTATGTTATGTGTAATATAATTTTTAAAACTTTATCTTTACACTTTTACTTTACCGCTTTCTGAGCATCATTTAAACAAGGTGTTAAATTGGAAACAATTTTCTTTTATGTAGGAAAAATTTCTGCAATAATTAAAAAAAAAATTCATCGTAAAAAACCGTGGGTTGCTTTTCAAGATATTTTATAATATAAAAACTTTACTTAAATTATTAACTTTTTTTAGACTTCTGTCAATAAAATATGTTTACAAAAGTTGAAATCTAGCACCCCACGCATTTCAACGATAAAATGATTTTTCTTTTTTAACTTATAGAAAATTATTTTCTTCTTTTTAGTTTGGCTAGTTACAAAAGCGTGTTTTTTAGTCTTTTTTTTAAACTTGTTTATTATAACATATTTTCAACTTGAGTGTCAACTTCTAAGATTTTTTTATTTTTTTATTTTCTATGTAGATTTTTTTTGTATATTTTAACAAAATCACCTCACAAAGAATAATAAGTTCTATACCAATACGCATAGGATCGAAAATGGATTGTCGCGCGATTGTCTTGTTTTCATTTTAAGCGAATCTGTATTTCTCGGAAGCGGACGGTTCTCGTAGGGATTGGAAATTACTGGAATGTTCCTTTACGAGTATTATAAATGTGGCCACATCTTCTTTGAAGTTAAGTTCAGTTCCAGCTACAGTGACATAAACATCGAAGCGATTGAAGTGAATATAAGTGTAACCCAGCGACCTCGGCGATCATTCCAGACTACCATGACCCGTAAGAAATTGAGCGACACAGTGATCCACCTCAAGCCATATCCTCGACAACCGTTCGCGAACAGATGGAAAGAATTGGTAAAGATGGCGCCCCTTGGATGATTCATCCCAGCGTTGTTGCCATTCGTCTATGAGGTCATTATAGACATCGGGCTGCTGTTGAAGCAATCTTGTAATTTTACCGCGATCCCGAGCGCCCAAAAAATCGCATTCCATGTTTTGTTGTCTTGAATAATACATGGCTGCACGTCTCTGCACCTCGAGATCGACCGGAAGCACACCCGCCAACACCGGCAAAGCCTCAGTGCTAACCGTCCTATATGCCTTACACAAGAATATCAGTGCAAGTCGTTGGCCTTGTAACAGTTTGCGACGGACAGCGCCTACGGTCGCCCTATCGGCCCATACAGGTGCACCATAGCACATAGAACCTAAATAAGTAGCTCCGTATATGATCTTTAATGTATTAAATGATAGACCCCATGTCGCAGTTGATATCCTTGTCAATGCACAGAAACTCTTTTTAGACTTTTCATTAACTATTTTAATATGTTCGATAAATGAAAAGTTTCTTTCTAAAACTAATCCTAGATAACACACTGTGGTTTTATTTTTTACAGTAACTTTGTCAAATCTAATGCTCGGCGGTGATTTGAGGTTACCTTTTAAAAGTAGCTGGAAGGTTTTGTTGGGTGCAAAAGTTAAGCGATTACGTTCACCCCATTGAGATATCAAGTTCAAACATCTATTGGCTAATCTCTCAAGCCCCGCCCTAGTATCAGATTCCACCAGTAATAAGCCGTCATCAGCATACGCGTTCAGAGTACATCCGGATGGTATTGGTATCGCAAGAAAATCGTCGAAGCCGATATTCCACAAGTATGGACCTAGCACCGATCCCTGAGGACATCCCATTGTAAGCGCCTTCGACACCGAATGATGACCAAGTCTTAGTTTAGTTGTACCTTGTGAAAAGTACGAGAGATAAGGGAATAAATATTTTTAAAGCACCCCCGTGATTTTGATTTCAGCAACAGCATGGGCCACCATGCGTTGTCGAAGGCGCCAGATATATCTAAGAAAATAGCCAGCACGTATTGAAATTTTGACTCTGTGACAAACTTTCTAACCGATATAACAGCGTCAGTTGTCGATTTACCCAACGTAAATCCAAATTGTCTATCATGAAATTTGACTCCACCTGGCAGAAGCCGGGGCACTACAAGACGTTCTAAAAGCTTTCCTAACGATGGTAATAATGTGATTGGTCGGTAGGATTTAGGATCATCCGGTGGCTTGTCGCCACTTTTTGGTATTATACGAATATTACCGCACCGCCATATACGAGGAAATATTCCTTCAGCAATGCAACGTTTAAAGACAGTGAAAATCGTGTCACCCGAAAGTTTACAAGCTTCTTTTATCATTTTGTTAGATATTTTATCATCGCCCGAAGCCTTGTTTAGCGGCAAGGATCTAATGATACCGAGAAATTCGTCTGAAGATGGTAAATCAGACATTGGAGACAGTGGTGGTTCGATGGCCCACTGCCTGATCTGTCGGTGATGATCAGTGTCGTTTTCCGGTCGATCGTCAGGTACGAGTGAGTCTAAAAGATATTCTGCTGTTTGTTCTACTCCTGTGGTATATCTGTTATTAATTTTGATGTTCTGTATGTATGCAAGGTCGATTGATCTATTTGCCTTAAATTCGTGATACAAAGGTGACCACGGGCCCTCTCTATCGAGTTTATCAACAAGTTTCTGAATTAAGTTTCCCTTGGATTTATCCACAGCAGCTCTGTAGTGGGACCTGGCAACTCTAAGAGCAATGAGAGCATTGTTGTACAAATCTCCTGTTACGTTATGTTTTTTAATAGTGTTTAATTTTCTACGAGCTTTCCGGTAGCTTCTACGTAGTTCGGCTAATCTATCATTCCACCAATCACATCTACGAGTGTTAGTGATAGATCCGCGACCAATAGTTACCAGTATTATTGAGTATTGTGTGAACGTCTTGAGGTGTAGGAATAATAAAGAGTCTTTAGTCGTCAGAAGGCTTATTATTCCGAATCAACGTACCCCAACACGTAACTACATTAAACATTGATGGTTTCATTTGTATCTTTACCCGTCAAATTTCAAGGCCCAGTTGGCTATCTCAATGGACAATAAAATTATTTTAACAATTAGGGATTGTTCTACGGTTTCTACTGTATGACTTTCTGTAAAAATTTCTATTCAAAGCAGTAGTAGTATGTAACTGCGCGCTTCTGTATCGTCCTGTGACAGATTTTTTGACCAGTCGGAGGCACCAATATAAACGAAACATCTTCTAACTAAATTTGGGTAATCTAAATTTATAAAACACAATGTAACTATTTGGATAAAAAAAAATCAACGAATATAATGAATGTATTGTTTAAAGTACATAGCTCCATATTAATAGACATTGTAATAAAAAGTCACAAATTACACAACATTGCCATTTGCTGAAGCAGAACTACCATTAAGTACATATTGTTTAATTTTTTTTTCTGGAACGTTAATGTTATCTAATCTAATATCTTTAAACGAGCAATTCTTTTATATATGTGTGTGTTCATATATATATATATATATATATATATATATATATATATATATAATCTGCATATCGGAAATGGCTCTAACGATTTCTTGAAATTTAGTATCTAGGGGGTTTCGGGGGCGATTAATCGATCTAGCTTGGTTTCATTTTTAAAAAAATTACCAATAAAAAAATACCGAGCAAAGATCCGTCATCCAGGTACTGAATTATTAAAATAAAACAAAAAGTGACATATTGAATGATAGATTAAAGATGTAGTCCCCTTGAAACCAAAAGGCAAATATATATATTTTCTAGTGATACTGATTCCTATGTTTGTTTCCGCGGTATGGCGTAAGGTAAAGTAATTATTCGTAGAAGTCACACCTATCCTTATTATGGTGTAATAACACCATAATAAGGATAGGTATAGAGAGATAGAGTAATAGAGTAAAAAAATAGAGTAGATAGAAGATAGAGATAGAGTAGAGAAAAAAAAAATAGAGTTGATTTTAGAATAAAAAAACACAATTATATTGATTTACTTCCGAGATAAGTTTTATAATAAAATTATAGATTCTGTAGTAAAGTATAACGGTTCAATTTTCTGTCTCTTTGTATTATACAAGGAATCACTAGCCGTTAATTTTAAGTTCTAAGTTTTTATAATCCTTTATTTTTAATTTCATTTTAAATTAGTAGTATGGTAGGTATACAGGGTGTAAGGGACATCGCAACGAATACTGAAATAGTGTATTCAGACCATGATTATGAGTCGAAAATCATTCGAATTTTCTCCCGGGAAATTCTTTTTTTTATAATTTTTTTGGTTACATCACATATCACAATGAGTAAACAGAACATTTCACCGAAAACAAATTAATAAATACCACATACGGTCAAAAACTGAAATGTAATTAATTAAGCAGCCGAAGCGCGCGGGGCCTCCCTTTCGGCCGACAACTTGTGTTAGTGTGCGTAGACTGCTTGCACATAATACACATTTAGTTATTACTTTTGTGCGATACCAACGACCTACCTGTAAACCTTTGATAGCTGATTGCATAAGAAAAAAATTCCAATGATTTTGGACTCAGAATGATCTGATGTCTGAACACACTATTTCAGTATTCGTTAGGATGTCCCTTACATCCTATATAGAAATAGTTACAGCATCGCACTTGCAAACAAATATTGTCTAGTCCAAACTTAACATTCGGAAAGGGAAACTCCAACTCCACTTATTGTACTAATGTAGAGCAAAATCACAAAATTTAAGCATATCTCTAAATTGTTAAACCCTTTACTGAATCGCGATTCGCGGAATAAAAAAATTAAAACATTTTTAGGATTTACCCATTTTGTTGATATCACAATTACGTAAGCATACAAAGGCATACACAGTGAGGCGTATATATAGCACATAAAATCAACCGCAAGTTCAGTCTAATTTGACGAGCAGTTTACAACCATGGCATCACTCAAGGTACAATTCATTTATCATAAGAAATATTACAAGGTTTCACTATAGTAAAGTCTAGCAAATTATAATATGAAGATCTATCTATGATCTATATATCTAAAACTCAAGAACGGCTGGACCGATTTGGCTAATTTTGGTCTTGAATTATTTGTGGAAGTCCAGAGAAGGTTTAAAAGGTGAATAAATATGAAAATGCTGGATATATTTTTTTTAATTCCGAGCATTTTTTAATTGTTTTCATAAAAAAAAGGATTCCTTTTGTTTGTTTATTTTATACAAAAGTTTAGGTCTTTTATTTATCAATTGAGGCAGTACGAAGTCTGCCGGGTCAGCTAGTATAGTAATAAATGTTTCAGAGGACTTTTGATTTTGATATACTGGCATATAACCAAAGAGGTTTTGAAAACGTTTTTTTAATTAAATTAATATTAATTTAAAAACACACGATTTTACAACACTAGTATTCTCTCTTGTTTCTCTTGTTCTCTTCTTGTTTCTTTCATGACTTTGGTGACCCAGAGTATGACAACAAGTCCAACGTTTAAAAATAATATAATTATTTTATATAATAACTATATAATCTATTAAATACGCTACGCTTTAAAGATATAGAATGAGATAGTAATATTATTATTATTTATTATTATAAAATATCTTCTACTTACTACAAAATTCTGAGAGGTTGACCCCCGTCTCCGACTACTTTCCTCGGTGAAACGTTAATGTTGCTTTTATTTTTTTTCAGACGGTTTTGATTTTCGGAATATTGATGGCTCTTGTAGCAACTGTCTTCTCACAAGGTTTTGGAGGCGGTCGAGGAGGAGGATTTGGCGGGGGTAGAGGTGGTTTTGGTCAGGGTGGGGGCCAGGGCGGGTATGGTCAGCGTGGTTTCGGTCAGCGTGGATTCGGTCAGCGCGGATTTGGTCAAGGCGGCTTTGGTCAAGGCGGGTTTGGTCAGGGCGGGTTCGGAAATGGTGGCTTTGGCCAGGGTGGATTTGGCCGTGGACCAGGAGGATTCGGACGCTAGAAATAAATTTACGATCAACGAATGATGCTGAAAAAAATAAATTCACGACAAAAGTATTTATTTGTAAAAATAACTGCAAAAAATTATACCTAAAAATAAACTTTTAAATAAATGTTTTATTGTTCATTTTAATTAGTATTTTTCAATCCATACAAAGGATATTTAACGAATGATCAATTTAAAATAATAATCCATTTTATATATATTTTTATATTCTACCACATTCATACAACGCGATCTAATCCCAAACTAAGCGGAGCTTGAACTATGGGTACTAGACAACTGATATGAATACATATATACCTTTCTTCTTTGGAAATACATACATATTATACATAGAAACACCCAGACCAAATCAAACATTAAAAGTTCATGCACACATACACAAACCACTACGCCATCCGGTCGTCATCCATACTAATATTATAAATGTGAAAGTGAGTTTGTTTGTTTGTTTGTTACGCTTGCCCACCTAAACCACTAAAATCATTTAAAAATATATTTCATCAATGGAAAGCTAAATTATCAGCGAGTAACATAGGCTTCTTTTGACCGCGATAACCGACATACATGCGGGCGGAGCTTTCGGCAAAAGTTCATTAAGTTTTTTAACTTAAATGAAGCTATTCTTTTCAAGTATAAGTTGAACTATAATGTATTTAGTGGTATTTGGTGGTATCAAAACCTGGTTTATCACATATTTCTTTACATAAAAATGGAAAAGTAAATCAAAACTTGTTCCCATGACCTACAGCGTACTTTATTTTGATATATTTCAAGGAGTATTATTATGTATGCTTAAAGATATTTCTTTTAAAAATCAAACCAAATCTTTATTTGCGAACCAAGTGTACAGTAATAGTCTTATAATAGTAATTTGTCTCAACTTAGTAGCCTTTTCCAGGCATCGCAAAATTGAGAATATCCGTTTAAAGGTGTAAGGAGGTGTTAATTTATTAACATAACATATACCTAGACTGACGTTCACACTCAACCACAATTAATCGACAAACGATGATATTTATTTTACCAATTTGAAATACTAATGAAAAGAAGCAAGTCGAGCCTGGCCCATTTGGCTCTCCCATGATAAGGCTACTGACTGCACGGATGACGTAGTGGTTAAAGCGGTCACCTCGCCGCCTCCTACTGTGCTGAGAGTTGTGGGTTCGATCCCCACATGGGACAACACTTTGTGTGATACACAAATTGTTGTTCTGAGTCTGGGTGTTCTCTGTGTCCGTTGCGTCTTAATGCGGGAGGTGTCTTAAAAAATATTTTTATATATATGATTAACAAGTCACGTTTGAAAGGTCACCAATTTAAGGAATTGTACGGATTAACATTAGACATTACAATTATCTAAAACGCGTATAAGGAAGTATATAAGGTATAAAAGAATTATCTTAGCTACATGGCTAGCTGTATACAGTGAAAAACAGCTCACGACGATGTTATCAAGCAAGGTATTTATAAATTTATGGAATTTTAAAAACTTACGTTAATCATAATGCAGAAAGACGTAATAATCATGCTTACTTTATATTCTTCAAAACAAAGATGTTTGCCATAAATAAAGTGTTTTTTTTTAAATTAAGGCTATTAAACGACTGCAAAGAAAAATGAGCGTATTTTATGATTATTATTGTATTAAAAACTTCGTTAATCATAATGCAGAAAGACGTCGCAACAACTGTATTATACATTAGTACAATATGTAATAAATAATCATATCTTTCTTAATCTCTTTAAAACAAATATGTTCGCCATAAATAAAGTGGTTTATCTTTTAATTAAGGCTATTGAAAGACTCCAAAAAAAAAGGAGACTGTTTTATGAATATTATAATACTAAAAACTTGAGTTAACGTAAATAATACGGACCTGTTGGTCTAGTGGTTAGTGACCCTGACTGCTAAGCCGGAGGTCGCGGGTTGGATTCCCACACTGGTGAGGGTGACAGATGGCCTCACCTGTCACCCTCAGGCCTGCGCTTATGGAGGACGGAGGTCATTCTGCCACCTCCGGCGCCTGAGTCGCCTGCGGTACCTGGCCCGTTCCCGGGCCTGGCGGGCCGGGAGAGTCCTAAACCTCTCCCGGTCCCACTCCGCCGTCTCCTTCGCGAGAATACCTTGCTCGCAGAAGGAGACGGCAGAGTTCCACGCACTCTCGCTCCGCACGATAGCCGCAATCAGGCTATCGAGCGAGAGAACTCCCACCCCGATGGCCGCCACGAGGTCTCGCCTCTGCTCAACCCACGCCGGGCACTCTGCCAGCGTGTGGAGAGCCGTGTCCACGGTCTGGCCATCGCAGTGGTGGCACTCAGGCGTTGGCTCCTTGCGGATCAGACACAGGTGATCCCCGAAACATCCTTTCCCAGTGATCACCTGCGTCAGTCGGTATGAGAGGGTCCCGTGACGCCTCTCGAGCCAATCCTCCATAACGGGTTTTACCGCCGCGATGACGGCGTGCCCGAAGGTTGGATTCCCACCCACGACAAATAATTGTGTTATGAGCACGATCATTTGTTCCGTGTGTGGGTGTAATTTATGTGTATTATGCATGTATTTGGAAAAATGTATATAAGTATGTTTATCAGCAGTCTGGCACAGGCTCTGCCTAGTTTGGGATCAGACGGCCGTGAGATGTGTAACAAAAAAAAACTAAAATTATAAAATGGAAATATTATGTATAAAACACTACAAATAATATTCAGTGATGCAATATATAACGCTTCTACGTTACGAGTAAGTCTAAATATTTATAAAAGCACTACACTCCGCTTATATAATATATTTACTACTTATAAAACATATAACATTACAAATAAAACCTGTAGATTGATGTCAAATGCATCAATCTACAGGTACGTGTCACTTAGCCATAGGTCTTAACAAACATGCATTTTTTTGTCCACTAACATTCTTGAACTCACAACAAATATATATTTCAAATATTTAGGATTGACCAGCCTTATATAAAACAAAATCCTTTTTTAAAAGGGTTATACGTACGTAGTCTGATTCCCTTATACATTAATTGTTATGAACATTATATCTAATCATTTTCTACTTCATTACTATAAGGTTTATATATTGAATTGAATTTAAGGGTTGTGTTAATATTTTTAGATACTTTTCATCCTTGGAGTGTTGACAGCACTAACAGCTACTATATCAGCACAAGGTTTCCGTGCCCCTGGTTCAAGAGGCGGTACTAGTAATGGTGGTTTTGGGAGCGGCTTACTTGTCGGCTCAGGCAGTGGCAATGGCTTTGGAAATTTAGGCTTTGGCAACTCTGGAGGATCTGGTGGCTTAGGGCAAGGAGGTTTCGGCAATTTTCAAGAAGTTTTCAGTAACCTCCAAAAACGTTTAGGTGATATGCTTGCAAGATTCCGTAGCGGACTTGGATTTTAACTTAATGACGTTTGTTCATAAAATAACACAAAGCCTAGATAATAATATGTAAGAGTACCTGAGATAATAATAATAAAAGTTTTAATGTTTCATAAATTAATTTTATATTTGTATTTTTTATCATATATTGTTCTTCGAATTTAGAAAGACAGTGTTTGTAACTAATAAACCGTGTTTTTTTTTTCAGTCGCCATTATAGTTTCTAATGAAAATTTACAAATATCATAGGTATGTGGGTCTTCCTTACCCAAACAGTATATCTTTATAGTACATACACACGTCATTTATAACAAACGCATACTAAAAATATACAAATTACCTTGATTTTTGTCTACACGCACTTACCAGAACTATCCCAAATAAAGAATTATTGTTTAAATAAAAGCGCAAGGATACTCGCTCACGCACCTACGATCTAATCGTAACATCCAGAGTACGATTTAACATGAGTAGACAAATAATAAGTATAATAATACCTTACACAAATCACACACGGCCGTCTGATCCCAAACTAGAGCCGGTACTATGGTAACCAAATTGCTGATAAACATATTTATATATTTCTAAATACATACATAATATGGGTAAATTACACCTAGACACAGAACAAATAATCGTATTTACCATACCATATCCGTCCTGGGGGAGAATCTAACCCACGACCTGTAGCTTAGAGCAGTCAACATCAATAACCACTAGAGCAACAGGCCAGTTCAGTGGTTAGAAAGATAATGTCATAAGTAGTCAGAGAAGTCGCAATATTTGGTCATTGATAGGTATATACACCATCTATAAATTAACTAAGATTCAATATTGTAGAGAATGGAATTTAGGGCTTTATGTGAAAATTTCTGATTTTAATACTAGAAACATAATTTGGGATTTATTCTGGTTTTAAATGTGAAATTAAGAAACACCGTTGTTATAATTTTTATAATTGTAGTTTAAGTTTCCAAAGATATCCGTTGTTTTCGTATCCAAAAGATAATGTCTTTTATTTTTTCAAACCAAAACAGGTAATTGGTAGATGCGTATTTCCAGGCAGGAGAAGACGGCTAACCTACGAACAGGTATATTGTCTCAAACCTGCTCCAGAAACCATTATTTTGTCGCTGCATTTATCAATTCACTCAGCAAATAAATATATTTAAATAGACTACAAGATGGCTGTCAATTTACGTTTGCCATTAAAATTCTTTTTTTTTTATAATTCTAAGCGCACGAAGTCATGGGTAACGGTTTGTATAGATATAAGACCAATATATGTACATAAAGAAATCATTGCAATGTCAGTATATCGTTAAAAACTGTTTACATCATTCAAGGCCATATTAATTGTAGCTTGGTTCAAAGAAGTAGACTTAAAACCACAAATACGATATTTATAGTTTTGTTTCTTTATTAAGACGTAAATGTATTTGTTGTTGTTATAAAGTTTGTCCGTGTTGTGACGGATTAAAAATACGGTGTGTCACCACCCCTATTCATCCCGTGGGTATCGTAAGAGCCCAATAAGGCAGTAATCTACGCAGGACAACATCACTGTAAAGAGAAGGAAAACTTTAAACAAACCCTTTTTTTTTTTTTTTTTTAACGTGTGGAAATCCCCTCGGACCGTCACCCCTCCGGGGTTTGCGGCGGGGTGGTGTGTCGGACTCGGACCGACTAAAACCACACGGTGTGCCACTCTGCGCCTGTAACAGGAGGGATCCGGGAACAGCTGTTGTTAGGACATCCGGACCCCTCCTAGCGCCAGCCCGCTCCTGGTGCGGGCTCCGTCTCAATGTATTTTCCTCTCTTTATAGGCGACGTCCGGCACACGCGGACGCCGCCCCCTCGCGGCTGGCCAAACTAATGCGGGTGGAGGGGAAACCCACCCCGTCCACCCGCGGCCACACTCAGGGCGGCATGAGGCTGTGAAAGGCGGGCCTCCGCCGCCCGGTTCGCCGGCGGCGGATCGGGTCCGAGTGGAGGTCGTCCTCCCGGGCCCTCTCCGCCGCCTCCTTCCGCGAGATTACTACCTCGCAGAAGGTTGCGACCGCGGTAAAACAACTGTCGCTACCGGCCATGGAGCGTACTACGGCCGGTAGCGAGAGATCCACTCCGATGACTGCAGTGAGGGCCCGGCGCTGCGCCGCCCATGCGGGGCAGACCGCCAGCGTGTGCTGGGCCGAGTCCTCACTGCAGTCGCAGTGGTGGCAGGCGGGACTCAGTTCCCTCCTAGCGACCGTGTGCAGGTACTTTCCGAAGCAACCGTGCCCGGAAAGCACCTGCGTCAGCCTGAAGGAAAGGGTCCCGTGCTGCCGCCCTGCCCACTCGGCGATGACCGGCTGGAGAGCCTCCACGGCGGCGAAGCCAGCGCGTGGAGTCTCCAGCCGGAACGACCAACGAGCCATCGTGGCTCGGCGAGCGGCTTCGCGCCACTCGCGCACATCCTCGGGTGGAGGGCGAAATCCGCTCTCCGCCCGGGAGTCAGCCACTCGCCGATAAACTTCGGCGAGCACTTCCGCCTCCAAATCCCACGGGGGAGTTCCGGCCAACGCGCATGCCACCTCCGTAGAAACGGTGCGGTAACCGCGTATGGCTCTGACCGCCATTACCCTCTGAGGGCGCCAGAGGCGTACCCTATTCTGGGCGGTCAGAGCCGCCGCCCACACCGGTGCACCGTACAGCGCCATTGACCGGACAACCCCCGTGTACAGCCGTCTTGTCGCGACGCTGGGTCCACCCATATTGGGCAAGAGTCGCCCTAGGGCAGACGCAGCGCCGACCAGCTTTGGAGCAAGCTGTCGGAAGTGCTCGTCGAAGAGCCACCTCCCGTCGAGGATCAGGCCCAGATATTTCATCTGGGCCCGAACCGGTACGAGGACCGAGTTGACCACGATTGAGGCGCCAGGGGGTGGACCACGACGGGGCAAATGAAATAACAGGGCCTCCGTCTTATCTAGGGCCACCCGTAAGCCCAGCGCCTCAATGCGCCCGACCACCAGGGAGACTCCCCCTGTGGCCAGGCGCGCCGCCTCTTGGAAGTTTGCCCCCCGGGCTGTCACCAGGGTATCGTCTGCGTAACAGATTACACCCAGCCCGGGGGGGAAATCGGCGCGAAGGGCCCAGTCGTACCCTATGTTCCACAAGAGGGGTCCAAGAACAGACCCCTGTGGAACACCGCACGACATGGGCCGACTCCTCAAATTACCTTCTCGGTCCTCGTACACGACGGTACGCTCCTCTAAATAGTCTGCCACCAGCCGCCTCAGGTACTTTGGCACCCCATGATAGTGGAGTGCTTCCCTGATGCAGCTGAATGGCAGACTATTGAATGCGTTGGCGATGTCTAATGACACCGCCAACAGCACGCCGCCACAGCTCACGGCCTCTTCGGTCACGGCCCTCAGGCGCAACACGGCGTCGACTGTCGAACGCCTCGCCCGAAAACCAAATTGGGCGTCCGACAGATCGGGGCCCACCTCGCAGAGGTGCCGGACGATGCGGGCAGAAGGAACCCTCTCAAACAATTTGCCCGCCTCGTCCAGCAGCACGATGGGCCTATAGGCCGCGACCGAATCGGCAGGCCGTCCCGGCTTCCTCAATAGGACCAGCTTCCCGCTCTTCCAGCACTCAGGGAAGCGTCCCGACGCCAAGCTAGCGTCGAACACCTCCCCGAGGCGGTCTGCCATGTGGTTGAGGGCCAGGGCCAGCACTCGGGCCGGTACCCCGTCTGGCCCAGGGGCGGTGTTCTTGGAACGGATCCGCAGAACAGCCGCCCCTACCTCCGATTCCCGGACGGGCGGAACATTATCCTCCCCGTACTCCCCGTCGTCTCCGGCCAAGGAGGCCATCGCCGGGGGAGTGTGTTCCGCTCGTTGTGGGAAAGGCCCTCAACCACTTCTCGCAGGAAGCTGGGCTGGAGAGTCTCCGTAAGGGGGGGGCCCGACGCGCTGAGCTTTTGTCGCACCGCGCGGTAAGGGCGACCCCAGGGGTCACGATTGAGACCCTCCAGCATCTCCTGTCTTTTTTCTTCTTTGGCGCGGCTAATGGCCAGCTTCAGAGTTTTCCGCGCCCGTCGGTACTCCTCATGAAGCCGGTCCTCCTCACCGTCTCCACGGTGACGCCGCCGACTGCGCGTGTAGGACCTCCGGGCACATGTACAGGCCGCACGGAGGTCCGCCAGCTCCTGGGACCACCAGTAGACCTATATAGAGGCCTATATCGAGCAGTGGACTATTAAAGGCTGTTGATGATGATAATGAAATGTATTTAAATGGACCTTGCTAAATTCTAATTTTCCAAAAGTTGCCAGAAAATATTCAAAACACGTTCATCATTATCAGAACGGTGTGGCTTAAATTCCTTTTATGTCTGTAGGAAATTGCTTTAAAAGCATATATCAAATTTTAAAACATCTATAAACGAAATGGAAACCCTGATAACTTCATACATTTCTTGTACATGAATTTTAGAAATTCATATTTAAACAAATATAGTTTGTATCCATAGGCTACTATTTATAATAAAATATAAAAGATTTCATATGAAATCGAAACGGTTTAATGTCTTTATACTTACATAAAGGATACTTTTTATCCCGGACTGATTGCATAGGTAACTAAGGGTGTGTTTCCACTGACGCGGAGCTGGGCGGAGTGGAACGGAGAAGAGCAGTGAAAATTGGCAAGTGTTTCCATTGAAACGGCGCGGGGCGGAGTGTTCCGGCTCGCTACACTCCGCTTGCCACCACAGCCTGCTCGACTGCCTTCTCTCCGGCTAGCCGCGAGTGTTCGATATTTTATTTGAAAGTCCGCTCCGCTCGACTTACACTGTTTCTACTGATGCTGAGAGGAAATATCGAGCACCGTGTTTGGCCAATTCACTGTGGCTTCTCTTCACTCCGCCTATGCCAGCGTCAGTGGAAACACACCCTACTAGATTGACTGATATAATATGTACTTATATGCTTCTTGTGTAAATACTTACATATTATACATAGAACGTAAGGTATGCATGTAAAGAACCTGCAATGTAGGCACTATTTTCGGAAAATGTGCTCTATATACCTATCTCATTTTGTATCGTGGTATTTACGATCTCGTTTCGCTCGTAATTTAATAACGTCATTCTATCTGTATGTATGTTGGGTAAAAAAACATGCAAATTGCTATCGTATGATTTACGGATTCCCTGTTATATTTGTGAAATGAGGTGTTTCAGAATTTTGTGCCTAATAGGATAAACATAAGACAAATATTATAAAAGGTACATCTATTACGACTATTGACCTGATTACTACCGCATTTTTGAAGTTTTAATGCCATCCACACATTTATGATGTGTCTGTTATATTTACTATCTTATATTTTTGTAAGTAGGGATTCTCGCGACAAAGAAAAATGACTATTTTATACCAAGAGCCATTCCTTTGAATAAAATAGTCATTGTCTTTTTTGTACGCGTCGTCTATTAGAAAATTATTTTCTGACGCCGACCTATATGGTTAGATGCGTACAATTTATTTCAATATCCATATGTTTTATAATAATAACATTTTTTTGACTTATTTCCTAAAACAATTTTTTTGTCGTAATTGCATTCATACAACTTGCTACTAAACTTTTATCAGGAGTCTCATAGACCTCATGTAATTATCATTCAAGTGCGTACTCTTTTAGTACAAACTTTTTAAATACAAATAATTTTGATCGACTCTGTTACAGTACACTTTCAATCGTCAGTAGAATATAAAACCATTATCAAATTTAAGATTTATAATTAGATGGTAAATAAAAAATCTGTCTCTCGTCTAATTAGATTTGTATAAATAATTTAAAGGATGCTTTTTAGATCACATGTTTACTATTACGATAATTAAAACAGTATCGACACAGAACGTTGAATTATACCAAGAGAGAGATATTCTAAAGAGCCGACTGCGCGGAACGAGGATTTGAATAGAGACTTTAAAAACGGCCTAAAATAGAAGTTAATCAGATAATGTGAATCTATGCTCGTGCGTTTCGCTGTTGCTATTCAGGCGAGACTAAATTTTTATTTAGTAAGTCAATTAACGGCTCTCGACGCATTATTTTTTTAACGCCTTAATACAGTAATGAGGCGTTAACATAATAAAATTGATTGTTTCCTCACACAATTGCGTCGAGATTTAGTTGGCTAATCAAATGCTTCTCTTGAAACCCAGGTGCCTATGAAGGGCGGTATTTAGTTACCGTAAGATGAAAAAAAATAATCCTAAAATCCTAAAAAGATGATCTGTCAAAAATTTCTCCCATAAGAAGGACATCAAGTAACCTTAGTTAACAACTTCAAGAACTTAACATTAACAAAATCTTATTAACGTCAGTTATTTCAAAGAACAATTATTAAAACTAAATAGATGTGTTTACTAAGTCTATAAATTTTAGATTTTTACGTATTTTATAAATTACTGTTTTATTTTACTAACAAATTATGTTTTCAGGCGATATTCCTGTTTGGAGTTGAGTTGAGTTCCAATGGTTTAGCCCAAGGTTATGGCAATTGTGGCTATGGTGATGAAGGCTTTTCTGACCGAGGATATGACAAGGGAGGCTTGGATAATGAACGTTTCATTAATGTTGGATATAACAACAACTGATATGGGAACGGAGGATATGGGAATAAGAGGCCTGTTTATAGAGGCCCAGGATTATTTGGCAGTTGAGGAGGTTTCGGCGATTTTCACGGAAGTTTCGGCCTTAAATAAGTTACGGCCGGTATTTGAAATTGAATTTGGTGGTCAACCGCAACACTACGACACTAATTTGTCGATACTTAGAGGGATAATAATAAAAAAGACAAATAAATTGCTTAAAAATTATCTTACCTTTTTCAATTTACATGTAACCTTAAACATTTAACATTTTTTTAGTTTAGTTGTACAAAAGCTGTAGCTGTACACAAAGAGCATTTGTGGCATGTATAATATGCCATATAATAATATCGTGCAGCTCTACTCTGAGGTTTTTTTTCATCTTTATATTGTCTTTTCTTTTTATTAAACAAAAAGAATAATCAAAATCGAATAGTTGCAAAATAAAAATTAATTATCTGCGCTGCGTCCTCTATAAAGTTCGTTCAATGTTCGTAGATGTAACATTATTCAAAAATAACACAGAAGTTACGGTAAGTTATGGTACAAAGAAATTATGGTAGTAGTCATTTAACTGTTGAGAAAATCAAATCAATATTTTGCAATTATCATTAAAATTCACATACTCACAACTTCAGTATACATTGCCAGCCATTGTGAATGAATGATTTTTGTGTTCAACACATAGGGATTTTATTCCTAGGAAGTAATAAACTTATAACTTGTAAGGAAGGTTATATGCTTAACTACTTGGACGAATGAAAATCATCCGTCACACTAATAACTGCTATCTTTGCCCAGCTCTCTATTACCTCGAGATTCTCTGATATCCAGCTCAACATCGCAGAACCGCTACCCTAGAATGCGTCCGTTGATTTTTTTTTTTTTTAATTGTAAACACGGCTCACACAATGATGTGAGGCAGTTCAAATTAGAAATAGAATTGCGAGGCCGTTTTACATTCAGGGCATGCTACACTGATTACAACAGATCTGGGCCATCGACTCCCGTCCGGTATTTTCAAATGTATTACAGTACCTGTCACCGTCAAAGTGCTGAAATGATCATCCTTCAACTAATAAAACAGATTACGTTTGTCTAAGCTTGGTGATATTACGGTAGTTTTGCTTTTATGCTATATTTAGAAGTGGTAAGTTTTGTTTTTTTACCGCAAATACTCAGATACAACACCTATAGTACACACACATTCACAGAAGCACACGTTCACGCTCACAGAATCATACACGACTAAAATGTTGAATAAATAAATACGTGCACTTATATGTCTTGAATGACATATCGATGTCCGCTTCTCCAATCACAGTACGTAGAAATCGTGTAAAGTAGGCGATCGCGATACATAAGTAATAAACTTAAATGTTTCAATTTTTTAATCAACTAAAGTATACGTAGTTTACCACATACATGAACTTGTATCACACATACATTCATATTCATAGACTAACTGGGCACAGGCATTTAAAAAGCGTTGCCTTAGTGGTGTAGTAGTATAAAGCCTCTGGTTCGATTTCCAGACCGGGCAGCATTTTGTAGGGTTTTTGTGAGCGGCAAAATAGCCTAAGCCTCCTTATATAGACTGCTACCTGGTAGTAAAATATTATCAAAATCGGTCCAGCCATTTTGGAGATTATCCGGAACAACCAGACAGACAGACCGACAGACAGACAGATAAAAATATTTAAACTGGATTTTAGGCTTAGGTATCGAGCAAATAACCGTGACATTACAAACGGACACTTGAATTTTATTTATTTGTATAGATACATGTGATTTTTGTTATTACTATTAAAAATCATAACTATCTGTAGAATAACTGCTAGGTAGTAATAAAGTAAATCTCTTAGTACAGTTAAGGGTGTCAAGTACACTCGACAATGAGATACTTTATCTCGTTGTCAGGTGAGGTGTCGAAAGAAGTCTGGGAAAAACTGCCTTTGTTGCACTGCTCACCTACAATTACGATGACGTGTCGACTTGTATTCAACATTGTTCAGTAAAAAATAATTTGAATATCGCTGATGTAGATACAATTATTTTCTTTAGTTATTTGTAACGTCATTACAGATTTCAATACTTTGTAAACAGATCTATAATATGAAATAAAATATTATTTGTTTTTATTATCTAACAAAACAAACAGATTATCTAACAAACCTACGCAAAAAAATGAGGTTTTCACTTCAAGACACAATTGTACATAGATACTTGGAGTATATACAGTACAGGGCGTACATAATTAATAATCCTGTACCTGCCGATGAGCCTAATAGTAGGTTATTCGAATATATTTTTTATTTTTTAAATTTCGGAATGGTCTTAGAAAAATGGCGTAAGTTATATTTTTAAAGAAATAGTACTTTCACTCACTAATTTTACTATAGTTGCCACACATTTTGTAATTTTTGCGTCCTGTTTTTTTTACGATACAACTGAATATTTTAAGCTACGTTAACAATAAAGCATTTCCTACTTGTGCATTTAATATTGCAAAAAAAATAACATAAAATGACAAAAAGTCGTATTGATGATTTAGTTTGTTAACTTTGTACGCCCACCTAGGGCAAAAAAACGTGCTTGTTTAATGCAGATTCCAAAACAGTGAAATACCTATTTCATATCGCGATCTTTCCGAAGAAAAAAAAGTTCTTGATGACCATGATTTTTAAAACAAAAATATAAATTATTTAGTTAACACAAAAGTGTTTCCAAAGAGAATAGAATGGGTATTCACCAGTCGAGTCATAGCAGGTACCTATGACTCGACTGGTGAATACCCATTCTATTACCAACACACCAGTAGGTGGGCTTTTAGGGGTTCATCAAAAAGCGCTGCATCGCAAAGTGTACAAAATTAACCAATAAGACTTTTTTGTCATTTCATGTTAATTTTTTGCAATATTAGAGGCACGAATAACTATTTATTGTTGACATAGCACAAACTCTTCGGCTATATCACAAAAAAAAACAGAAAGCCAAAATTCTAAAATGTGTGGCAGCTGTAGCAAAATTAGTACTGCTCTCTACTCATGTAAATCTAACTGTGTGCCGTACACAGAATGACAGAATAGCCAGCAAATGAGTTGCGTACGCCATTTTTGTGTGTTAGGGAAACACAATAAAGTATAACACAATAAAGTATAACAATTTTCTGTTCAAATGTTAAGTAAGTATTAAAAGAAAACCTAAAACAGCTTAAACTGCATTATAAACTTGTAGGTTTATTCCTAACGCCGATAAATAAATGAAGCATTTAATAAACAGAAACATGTTTTTAGAAGCAGTTACAATACATAAAAGTGAACAATTTTTTTAAACCTTTAAGTACAAAAACTAAAACTAAACTTTAACTTTAGTTTGCTACACTATTTAAGTAGGTGCTTGCTTAGGATATTAAGATTTCGATTAATACATGCAAACTTCTTGAGGTTTACGCTTAAGTAGTACTTTTCTCCTTCAGGTCAGTCCTATCAATGTTTCTTTTGATAGTACTGGAAGATCCTGAGATTAATGTTATTTAACAAACCAATTGATCTTTCAGCGTTCTAATATTAATATAAATCGGTTTTTTTCAATCCTACGAGTACATAGTGTAGGTAACAGTCATGATAAATGGGTTGTACTCGTATAGATTAAGGACTGTTTTCTACAGCATAGACTGCTGCTAAAGAATTCGATGTTAGTGGCATTGGCGAACATAAGTTATTCGTTATAAGCCATTTGCACTAATCTTTTTCAGCAGATTCCCAGGATTACAGATTAGAGTATCTTCTCTAACCAAGCACCTTTTAAATTGTCCGGAACATTGCATCAGGTTTTGCATCTTACAAACAGAATGTAGTAACTTTACCTTTCTTGATATTTAATTTATTATATAACTATAATAAGTCTGTTTTTGGTGCTTTGTCTATCTTTAAAGTCGCAATATCGATTAGTTTTTATTGTGTTTTCTCGGTCTGTATAAGCCTGTTACTTCGAGGATAGACTTTAAAGTTTTCTCTATTCTTTCATATTTTTTGTATGGACCAATTTTTAGTTCATTTTCAGTTGTTCTTCTAGACTTCTGACGACTGGTTAAAAGTAATAGGTACATACTATGCGATGTATATTATATACTTAAAATCATGATTGCCACTAGAGTGGAATTTGCACTTAGTGCCTTCTTCCATAGATATTGTTCAATAAACCGGTATATATCACAAAATTATAGAACAGGTCAATTTTAAAATTCCTCATTATCATGTTTGAAGAGACAAAGCATAAACTAAGATGTCTCACTGGTCTCACAGTAAGAAAATACGTTTCATGCATGATTTTATTGAAATAATTACATTCGTTTATAGACTTTTTGTATATGTATTTATTTTTCACATATTTCTATATATTAACATATAGTAAAATACGTAACTATCCAGAACTTTCTTAATATTTAAGATGTATTTCAATTAAATAAATCGCTAAATCATGTATGGTACAAAAATAGTTCTTTTTAAATTTACTGCGTGTAATAAAACAGGCTTTCAGTCATAGAAATTTCATAGAACGAATACCACTATGGTTTTAATAAATAGCATTGGTTCAAAACTTATTAAACCAAACCTTTTTGCATAGAATATCTATCTAGATATTCTATGATAAAAAGGTTTATAATAAGAGGTATCTAAACAGACAGACATTGCAAGAAAGATAACAATATAAGACAACAGACATCTTCTCTGTTAATTTCACAAATTAATTACAGAGAAACAACTGCTACCGCTATATTTTTTAGTCTAGCCACCATAAAATACTTACTAGAAGCGATACTGTGATTTATACGCCCTTTTCCCAACAGTACCGTTGACCGTTGACGATTCTATTGCTGCTGAACTCGGAAATTGTGTGGACTCATATACTAAGACTTCGGCATATATCCTACTTCTCATTCATTTATTTATTTGGAGGCTCAACTATGTTACATCTATCATGGGTGAAGTTAAACATTGCAATGGACTCTTAGCCAATAATAAAGTTTCCTGACAAATAAAATTGTGTGCACCATTTAAACATAGGTTTATAAATATTATATACTATTTCTAATTTAGGTTCTAATAATTGCAAGCTTGTGGAAGATATCAATCTTGTCAAAATTATCATTGTAATAGCTAGGCAAACGAGTGAGAACAGCATTCTTACCATAATTGGTGCGGTGCAGAGATACTGAACAGGCGCGTATGTCTAGTACGAGCCTTAGGTGCATTCAATCTAATATTAGAGAGAAGGTAGATACCATCAATTTCACCTCGAATAATAGCGAATAAAAAGCTTACGTCCGGTAGCACGCCTACTAGATAGAGGCAGTAGATCAAAGTACTTACAGTCTTTAAGATATGATAAATCTCATCCAATTGTCTTGAAATTTTGATGTCTTAAGAAACGTTTTTGAATTCTCTCTACTTTACTCTACTTTTCTTGAAAAAATATTGTTGTACTTTTATAACCTTTTCACTTAGATCGATTTTGGGCTTCAGAAAACATTTCATTTTCAGTTTTTTTGGGTTTTTTTGCGTCTCATGAAAGAGCCTTTTTTCCGTAAGGTAAATTGTTGTTTAATTGAAGTTGGTAAATTGGAGGATTTATTACAATACCTCTGGCAATATTGTTTGTAAATAAAAGTTTTGAATAGCTAAAATCCTCTTTTTACTAATATGCCATCGAAAAATTTACACATTATTCTTTTCTCTTAAAAAAAAATTCAAATTCAAAAATATTGTAGAATAGAAGGTTTCTTCTGTAAACAAAACGTTGGTATGATCATTACACATTACAAATTCATACAGTAAAAACGTCTACTTTCGTATAAAATTTTAAAACTTAAAAAAAATCTCAAAATCTTCAAAATCTCTAGTAAAAAATTGTTCCTTCTTCTTGAGGTTAAACGCGTTGTATATCTTCTAAAGATGCCTGGCTGCTGTGGCGGATGCTGTGGAGGTTGCTGCGGACCATGCTGTAGTCCGTGCTGCGGACCATGCTGTAGTCCGTGCTGCGGCCCTTGTTGTTCACCGTGCTGTTGCGGCCCCTGTTGTGGGGGATGTTGCGGAGGCTGTTGTGGAGGATGCTGCTGTTAACGAAAGATCAGCAGCTGGTGTGCGTGCGGTCTTCTCTACCATTTGTCATGTGGTTTAGCCGTCACCCGTCATTGTCGCGAGTGTCGTCGCTTCAATATGAAGAAACGTGCCTCATGCCAGTCTTTCATAAATTTTGTGATTGTTCGTATAAACCCTGTAAAAAATAAACGAATGTTTATACAAGCCTGTGTTATGACTAGTCCGCTACTATACAAGAGCCCTCCAACCCGGAAGAAGTATCTAAATACATAGCATGTATTTCGGTTTTAGTGATGTCGCGCTTCGCCCTTGCCATCTACGAGAAATAAGGTAAGGCTTGATAATTCAGGCCTCAAATTACCTAAGGGGTAATCCACTTTTTATACCGTGGGAAACCTTTTATACCCCTTACCGGGGTTAGACTAGTCTGGGCAGTAGGAATTTCTTTGGTTCAGTTTCCTATTGTAATTAGTTCGGGTATCGTAGAATAGTCCAATGCCCACTAGAACTGGCATTGGACCTTACATTAAAGGAACTTATCCTGTAAGTGCTTACCGTTGTCAGATTATGGACAAATTGTCTAAAGGTCCAGTAAGCAGTTGTCTTCAATTCGGACGTTTATTGAAGGTTTAAATTGAGCCACTTCTACATTGATGTAACTTTGGATATATCTTGCAGCAAATTTCAGAATTTGGTATGTAGTCCTGTGAAGCGATTGAGACCAAGGGAAGAGTTGTTCGGGGTAAGCTTAGACATAGCGAAGGCCTTCGATCGGGTGTGGCATAAGACGCTTCTCACGAAGCTCCCTTCCTATGGGCTTCCTGAGAAATGTAACTGGGTCACTAGTTTCCGTGCAGGTAGAAGCATTAAGGTCGTTATCGATGGTGCATGCTTAGACTGAAGTCGGTAAATGCTGGTATACCGCAAGGCCCTGTGCTATTATCACCCACAGTTACTTCTGCATATCGATGACATGTTACGAACTAGTGGCTGGCGTCCATTACTATGCAGATAGCACGGTAGATGCCTTTTATACCAGCCGTCCCAATATTTCTCGGGAAAACGTGAGTCTAAATGAACTTGTCGTGAAGTTGAAGCTTCCTTATCGGAGGTTTCAGCTTGGGGTCGCCCCAAAAGGTCTGTGCGTTCACCGCAAAGATACCGTTTGTCGTATCACTTCGGTTTGAAAGCACCTCCCCTAACTGCCTTAGCCAGCATCGGAATACTAGGCATCGACATATCGAGCGAAGTCCAGTTTCGCGGTCATTTAGAGGGTAAGGTCAAATTGGCCTAAAAGAAGATCGGTGTGCTGAACAGAGGCAATATTTCACTCCAGCCCATCGCCTCCAACTCTAAGGCGCAAGTCTGACCGCATATGGAATACTGTTCTCATCTCTATGCAGGGGCACCACCGATCTCCCCCTGGTTCACCACCTGCATAATTGGCGCTCCACCACTGCACTTTTCAAGACACATTTTTTGCCTCTCACTACCAATCTGTGGAACAAGTTATCGGCTGCGGTATTTCCGGACCGATACAACCTTCAAACCTTCAAGAAAAGAGCGTACTCTTTCTTTAAAGGCTGGCAGCCCGCTTGTGAGTCCCTGAGTTGCAGGCGTTCATGGGCGGCGGTAGACGCTTTCCATCAGGTGACCCGTCTGCTCGTTTGGCCCCGATTCCATAAAAAAAAGCCTACGCGGGGTATACTTAACACGCAGAACTACTTCGCGTTATGACTAAACTTCAATTTTTTGATTAGCTTTCAGCCTGTCTCATGCCTAAGAGCCTGTCCAGATGAGGCGTTTTACGCGTGAGTCGACTCGCGCGTAGTCACTCGCGCGTTCCCGAGTTACTAGAGCTACATACATTCCGTCCAGATGACGCGCGTATCCTCACTCGCGCGTAAAACGCTGGTAATGAGCGAGACTCTCGACTCGCGCGTTCTGCGCGTCAGCTCCGCGCGAGTCGATACTCGGGCGCCATTACTGCGTCCAGTACGAATCCGTAGCGAGTGGACGTATTACAAAATGGAGCTCAACTCCACATTAACGACAAAGAGTTGGAGGTTGATACTTTTTTTTACAGAATGGTTACATTATTATAAGCATACACATGCGGAGACGCGTAGTTTTTGAGCAAAAAAATATTGAAAATCAATTATTTTTGTAATGTCAATATTTATGTCAATCGCTACCACAGATTATATAGAATTCTCACTAAGGAACGTTTCGTTTCATCTACAGGTAAGTTGTCATACGTTCTTTAAATATATTTTTTATATAAATTTACGTAAATAATTACATTTTGTACTCATTTCAATAGTTTTCATGCACAACAACAACAACAGTATCTATTAGGGCAGATAACAAACAAAATAGGTTAGGTTCAACTTATGTCAAAGAACCGAATTGATGGACCCCGACTCCACAAGGTACGACTCTGTCCTACCCCTAGTGTTTTTATAGAACCGGAGGCACGTAGGGAGAGCAGCTGGGATGCCTGCGATTTGTTACGCAAGGGCGAAGCTGTTCTTCCCGCAGCGCTGGAGACTTTGCAGTCTCAAAATAGATACAGGAAGGAGTTTTAATAGCTCGTAATGAAAATAATGCAGTAATTTCATTTATATAAACTTTTCAATATGTGTGTATGAAAACTATTGAAATGAGTACAAAATGTAATTATTTATGTACGTATGGATTGAGGAGCCATTTTAGAATTTAAACGAATTTTAAACGGAAACGGCCCCCTCATTTAGTAGGTGAGAAAATAATTTTGCAGGAAAAATCCTGAAATTTGTAGTAAGATATATCCAAAGTTACGTCAATGTAAAAGTGGCTCCTCAATCTAAACATTTGAATTGAGGAGCCACCTGGAACACGGAAAGTATTAAATGAATATTTTTGAAAACTTTGTATCATTTAGTAGTAATTGTGTATAGTGCCTACTAAAAATCTGAATCCAGTACTATTGATATTCAAGAATATACAACATTTTTAATGTGGCTTCTCAATCTATATTTGAGTGTGAATCGCCATGAAAGTAAAAAGTCAAAATTTATATTCTATTCCAAAAACATTTAGTAGCAAGTGGGTTTGAATTTGTAGTAACAGGAGAAAGTAGTAAAACTGAGTGAATTTTGTAAATAAACGCATTTTATTTGGCTCCTTAATCCTGACGTTCTGCATAATAAATAATGGATTGTACCTATCTGATATCACAACAGAAATAAAAACTAATGACACTAACATTTAGTATAAATGTCTACTAAATAAATATGTACAGATCAACGTTGTATATATTCGGTATCTGAAAAATAAATTACTTTTTGATATTCCTTATAAATTCGCCATTTAGGGTGACCATGTTAAATGAAATCAGTAGGACAAGTTTCTAAATTTAAATTTTTAACAAATCGACAATATCGAAATACAATTAATCAGGTTGGACATAAGTGATACAATGAATTAATATTGGTTGCTCCGTGATTTAACGAATTTTACAGTCAGAATCATAGTCGTCATAGCAAAACATCTCATCCTTCGTTGGGTGGTGAAACTTATAGTGTCCCATGCCAGCGTCGCTAACTGCAGGGATATATTCTGTAACACCTATTAATATGTATGATCTACCTGAAATCATTATAGATTATGTTATCTCGCTTACTCGAAAGATTTATTTCAAATGAAATTGTATTTGATAGCGTATATTTGCACACTGTTTGGAGGTCACAAAATGTACAAACATTTTTTTCTTCTGCAATACAAATTGCATCTTCTAAACTTTGGATCCCGAAAACAGAAATTATATTCAGGTTTAAAGGTAAAAATGCGATCTGTCTAGATATTGGGCAAAATTGGCATGAATTATTAGTACACTTTTTACTGAAAATTGCACTAAAAGAATATTTTAAAGCTATATGTTCAAAAATGAAGGACACATTACAAGCAAATTCACAGAGGCTTTCTTTTGTTTCAAAATACAGCACACCGATTTCGGACCGCATTCTGTATATATCACAGTCATTAGCAACAGGATCTGCTAAAAGTTTAATGTATTGAGGAATTAAATCATCAGAGTATCTGTTCAATGTTTCTTGAAAACTTCTACTTTGAATATATCCCATACTTAAGAAATGCATGACTGAATCAAAGCAACATGTATTTTTCGAACTCACATTAATAGAACTTTTGCTGACAGGTCGCATAGATTGCCATTTTTCATAAATTTTAATTTACGTTTAATACACAACATACCTAACGTGTTGATTTAGATAAGGTATAATACTCTATTGTTCAAAATAAATGAGTAAATTACCCAATGTTTTTTGTAATATGTTAAAGATAAAAATGGTTACATCTTGACCTTTTTTGTAGATCTTTTTAAGATATACATTTCCATAATACTTTATTTTGATCTATCTCTTAAGGTTTAGCCAGCGTTTGCAATGTAAGCGCACAAAAACATGTTTTTCACGAATTCTCGGATTTCCTCTTCTATTGTATGCATATAAACCCGCTTCTTGAATCACTCTCTCTATAGGTGAAAACCGCATTTAAATCTTTTGCGTAGTTTGAAAGATCTAAACGTACCAGAAAAAAAGTGACTTATACTATGTAAAATTAGAAAACCATGTTTATTATCTGACTGTACAAAATAGCATTTTTGGGTGTTGTCGAATTATTAGTGAAAAAAATATTAAAATTAAAAGGTTGATTCGGACAAGTACCTAAAAAATATTTGTTTCCGAAACGTCAGTAAGCTAATATGTGCAAACAAGTCAATTTCAACGTTAATGAATATCAATTTTCTAAAAAAATATGATTGAGAGTAGATAGGTAACGAAATTAATTTAGAATGACCCCATACAATAATTAGATAAAATGAAATAGATTTGTTTTTACGAAACAAAAAATACCTTTTATGTAAGTTATTCACGGACACCCTACAAAATTTTTTGTTAGGAAATTAAAGAATAGCTAATACATTCGTAGATACTGTACTTTTTTATGACAGGATTATACGAACATTTAGTATAAATTTATACTAAATATTGATGTAGTATGTTCCAAATTTCCTCACAAGTAGATCCTCCTATAAGTATATTTAAGTCAAATCTATTTACGGAAGCATCTTAACTGAGGAGCCAGTTAAAATATGCCATATCTCCTAATTCACTCATTCTTAAATTACTGATTTTTACACTACAAATTTAATATGCTTACTACTAAATGATGAAGAAATTGCGCATCAATTGAAAAACTGCTTCTTTTAAAAAATGACAGTCGTATGTATGGTGGTAATGTATGGTAACTTTATTAATTTTAACATTACCGAGCTCAGATTTTGTCTACAAACTAATGTCAAATACTACAAAATCATACTAAATTATCATAAATATACATCCGCTATGTTCCTAGTTCTGACGTGGCTCCTCAATCCAAACATTTAGATTGAGGAGCCACCTTTATGTTCATATAACATGAAAAGTATTATACTACAAAATCGAGGATCGCGGCTACAATTTTTTTTAAATGACTACTAAATAATATATTAATTTCATTACGATTTGAAGAGTGGCTCCTCAATCCAAACGGACATAACTATTTACGTAAATTTATACAAAATAAAATGTTACCGAACATATGACAACTTAACCTTGCTTAAAATGAAACGTTCCATGGCGAAAAATCTAGATAATGTTGAAAGAATAGTAGGAATAGGCGTTATAAATTATAATTAAAAAACATGTTGTTTAGCAACTAAAATCATTTTTATTTACTATTAAGATGATAAAGTTGTAATATTTTATGTAATGTAATATACATCAGTAAAAATATTTATTCCAACCAACCAATAAAATCAGCTTTTTATTTAGTTTAACTTCAATAACATGTAATATCAATTAAAAAAAAATTGAGTAAAAAAATATTAGTTACTAAACACTAGTCAAAAGATATTCTATTCTTATAAAAACACACTACATTACAAAAATTTATTTGCAAAACAAAAGCCGAGAATCATACTCGTACATCCTTTGCACAATCGTAACAGCTTCAAAATTTCGGTGTTCATAGGAAATGAAATTTAAGTAAGGTTCAACCCCGGAAATGGCTTCGAGAATTTAAGCCGAAACCATAGAGATTAAAACTATTACTATATTATAAACTTTTAGTATACAATAATTCTGTGCCATGGAGGCGAATACACATTCTGTATTGTAAATATAAGAAACACACAAAGTACTCTTGAATTGAAATTGTAGGCGATATCGAAGTACTGCTAAAAGCAATCGACTAATCCATTGCTTTTAACAATACTTTAATAATTTAAAAAAACATCGTTATCGCATTTGTCACATATTTTTTTGAATCGGTGAGAGATCTTTATGGATCAAAATGAGTTTGAGGAAAAGAATAGCTTCAAATCTTATACAATGAATTTTGGGGGTGGATTAGTTATGAGATCGATAGTAGCACGTGCTCTGTCAAAAAATTGAGCCATTAGTGTTAGAAATACGGAACCGAACTGCAATGCTATCTTTGACCCTTTCACAAATGTATTGTTTTTCAGTACAACATCTGTTTTTGGAACCTCTTCAGGAGCTGGAGGAGCTGGAGGAGGCTTTTCTTTATTTTCTTCTTTTACCGGAATTGGTTCTTTAGGTAAAACAGGAGTCGGGACTTCAGGTGCAATAGGAAATGGAGCCTTAGGTGTAATAGGTACGGGGACCTCGGGTGCCATAGGAACCGGAGATATTTCCAAACCTGGCGGTGGTGGCAGTGATGGTGGTGATGACGGTGATGGCGGTGGTGGTAGTGGTAATGGTTGTGGTGGTGATGTTGGTAACGGAACAGGAGCTGGGTTAGCGTTTAAGACTGAAATCGGAGCTTTGGGTACAATAGCAGTGGAAGGGTTTTCTGTTACCAGGGGAGGAGGAACAGGAGTAACTACAACTGGAGGTTCTGGTGGAAGAGGAGTTGATAGAGGTGGTGGTGGTGGAAGAGGAGTTGATAGAGGTGGTGGTGGTGGAAGAGGCTCCGGTTTAAGAGGAGGTGGTGGAACTACAACTGGCTTCGGTGGCCCTGATGATAAAATTTCATAGCTCTGAATAAATTTTTCTATTGATTCCACTCTTGATATATCAGTATAAAGAGTGTTTCCCTTAACTGACGACAGGTCGCTATTAGTTGCTTTTGTAGGTTGCATTATTACCATATTTGTCGATATGGGTGGAACTGTAGGTGATGGAGGTGGATAGTCATTTACTATAATTGGCATTGGTTTTGGCAAGGGAACTGGAGGAGGTGGAACTTTAGGTAAACTAGTATATACTGGAGCTTTTGGTACAATATTCAGAGGCGCCGTTCCGATAGCTTGTTCCTCTATATTTTCGAACACAGGTGCAGCGGGTCTTGGTTTTGGAGGTATAATGTCGTCTAAACTTCGCTTCTGCACAGCAATTTTTTTTCCAAAGACGCCGAATGGAGACCACTTCTCCTTTATAAACACCATCGGTTCTTTTAGCCATGGCTTGAAATTAATCTCAAAACCTCTTTGAAAACTTAGGCCTTGAAAAAGTGGATTAGCTTGTACCCACTGCACCGCGACACATATTAACAATATCTGTGAACAGTAACAAAACGTAGAATTAATAATCGCACACTGAACTTTGTTGTACAAAAGACAACCAATTACAACAGAGAAATACCTTGTAAACGCTAGACATTCTCCGAAGGGTACCACGATAAAAGTGAATTCAAATTATCATTTAAACTGGATTTATAAACATCTAGATATTCCACTTTTGTCGTTAATTATTAACCTAACCTTAGAGTTAGCACGCAATGGAATCAATTGTTTCAAGGGCTTGTATTGTATTCTTGATTCAATGCTGCTTTTGAATGGTTCTGCCTAACTTTGACATGTTTCAAGAAAGGTAAAATCTTCACCTATTTAAGAGGTTATTCATCTCTTAGGAGGTAAATCGGGTGTAATTAATAATTGTGAATGAATTATGTCATACATAAATTAACTTGAACGACTAATTTAATTGAAAATAGATTTTATTTTCTTTATTATTTCTTTACTATTTTATTATTTCATACTAAGTAAGCTTATTAACCAAAATCTCTGTGTTTAGATGGTACATAATAGCAAGACGTCAGCTATATTTTTATGCAGTGATCCCTAAGCAATGAGAGTTTTACTCTGATTGTTCTACTCCAAAATATCTTATAGTTAAAATTTAACTTTGTACGTTCTTTTAAATTATCCAATCAATCTAATACAGATGTTACCAACTTCAAAAAAGGTGGTTCTTAATACTGCTATGTTTTTCACCTCCGGACTCCGTCATCTATGAACCGATGTGGAAAAATCATCCATTATTTGAAAGGGTGCATTGTCCGTTTCGTTTGCGTTTCGTTTAGGTGTAAGACTAAGTAATGAATACTACAGTAATGAATATATTACAATTTATTACGATGTATACTGACTTTAATAGTCAGTGGCACAAGATGTATTATTAGATGAAACAAGTATTGTAAAAAAAAACAACTGCTTAAAGATCGTATACTTGAATTCAGAAACCTAATTAAATTTTACATCTTTATTATCATTTTTCGTTTTATATTATATTTAAATAAATAATTTGTGCATTTGTAAGACATTTGTGAAACCCTTATTTTGGTCTAAATCATGATTGGACTTCTTTATTTTTGAAAACATTTCCAAAGAACATTTTTAATAAAATAAAATAAACATCGTCATGTTAATAAGTAAAAGGTAATAGCTTTACTCTGTACTCAGCTTTTAAATGACTGCACGGATGGCGTAGTGGTTTAAGTGGTCGCCACGCCACTTCCTACTACGCCGAGTGTTGTGGGTTCGAACCCCACATGGGACGACACTTTGTGTGATCCACAAATTGTTGTTCTGAGTCTGGGTGTTCTTTGTGTCCGTTTCATGTATGTTTGTAAGGTCCCCCGCGACACAGGAATATATTCCTAATGCGGGCGTTGTCTTTTTTAAAGAAAAAAAAATATATATATATAAATCAATATTAACGAACTAGTAATATTTTTGTTTATTGCAACAAGAAATAGTTTTAATAGCAGGAACTTACTTAACCGCATACATTACATTCAAGCAACAGTATACTTTATCCTGTTTGTCAATCAATACGCGTATTTCTTACACTGTATCAGAATAACAATGTAAACAAAATACATCAATGACATTTCTTCCTACTTAGTATGTGTACTAGGTGCTTATGTAGAAACTGGAGCTGTCAAACGTGAAGAAAGTGGTCGGGTAGCGGTAGTAGGGATCCAGTAACTTGATCGCTAAATACAGTAAACAGACAGTTGTGAGATGAGTAGTATTTCACGTGGAAAAAAAACCATTCAGTTTTAAGTTTAAATCCATGTGTTATGAAATTAAAGTGTGAGTGATTGATAAGTGTTTTTTTTTATTTAATATTAAAAGTGGCTTAGGCATATTCGTTGAGGTAAAAACCTCTTTTCTACAAGGATTACGAGAAGATATAAATAATATAACAATTCTGAAACCTGCAATTGTTTATGGTAGGTGTGTAATTTGGCTCAATATGCTATAATTTGTTACCATTTTTTTTATAAAAAGTGGTAAAAAACTTAGTTTGCTGTTATTGAGCGGTGAACAAAGAGAGTGCAGAGATGTATATTAAATCTCAATGTCACCTAAGTTTGTAAATAGGCTGGTATCAAATAAAATTAAAAAAAAACACATGGCAAAAATCATTAATTCAATCGTTTTTCGACAACAGCAATCAAAATTAATGGGTTGTAGACGGTTCCATTTCTCACTTGTTTTATTTAAATTTTCTTAATTAAGAAGATGTTATAATCATGATCATTACTATAGTTTATAATTAAATTCAAAAATTTAAAAAGAATACATTTCTTATCTGTTCGAAACACAAATTTTACCAAAAAAAAGTGGACTATACATACGCAATCGTTTTATTAATTGTGTATTTATTTAAAGAGTTTGTTTAAGAAATTGCATAGTTATTTTGTTATTTTAAAACGCGCTGGGGAAGTAGTGACCACTTATATAAACTCTTTAGAAAAAAAGGCTGTTTATATAATTAAAACCTCGGTGAAAGCGAAAACATTTTTGATTTCTTTAACCTCTTTTAGATTAATATTAAATAATATGAAATTACTTATTTCATATTATTTGGTATATCATTTTATCTGTAAATACTCTGGACTTTAATTGATTAAATCGAAATCAATAGAAAAATCTATCAGTTCACTGCCGGTCCCGTGTGATAACATTATCTTAACAGTGTTGTAATGGACATTCACGTTTTACCCACTGTAATTAGCGTTACTATTGAATGGTGGGTCTTTTGAGAATAAAGTTTAGGGAATTTGTTAACTTTATTGTAGTGGGAGGGAAGGGATATTGCTTAAAAAAGTCCGCAGGCTCGGGAAGCAAACCAGATAAGCAAAAGCTCTAGCTGGGTAGGATTTGCCTACCTATAATGCCGAGCCAGGCAGTCTGAGCCCTTATTATTATAGCCAGAGGGGTGGACTCTAAAATCAGAGAATAAAAAAGACTATAAAATGTAAAAATATAAAAGGTAATAAAACCCAAATTCTCGTATGAAACTTGAAATGACAAAGTAATTTACAATTTTTTTTTTCTAATTCTTGAACTAATTAGAGTTCTAATTACTGTTGACATTGATTTAATTGATCATTAGACATATGTATAAGTAATGTGACATTCCCACACACCGTGGGATAAGTGGGCCATTGTTTTCTAATAAATACTTGAAAGTAGACATTTAACGGTGTCATTAAACTGGAAAGCTATTCTAGTTGACAGGTTTTTCTTTACTGTTTAACATTAATAGTTCGACGCTTGATAGTTAATCAATTTCACAATTTGCACTGATTTTAGACATGGAATTTGTCGTAAATCAAAGCTTTGATTGTATGCAATAACAACGCAAAAGAACTTTCTGAAATAATTTTGAAACCTGTATACCAGTAGACTTTACATTTATGAGATTATGATTTATAAATATACAACTAGCTGTACCCTGCTATGCTTCTCTGCGGCACATTGAAATGAGGACAAAACTGAAGCGAAAAATAGATAAAAATCAATCTTTGTCATAATAATATACAACCCACTGGTTGTATATCATGTCAAAATTTGAGCTCAACTGGAGCAGAAGTTTTTTAATATTCGAATCGTACACAAACCAAACTAACATTTATATACAGATGACGAAGATTACAACACAACATAAAGATTGGTTGTTGATCGAAGTTTTCGTACAAATAGCAATCAGGTATGTTAGAACATAGCAAAAAAAAATTACAACTACTAATAATGTGGCACATCTCTCATACAGGATTCTGTTCCTAAACTATGGAGGGTCCGTAGGTACTATAAGCATTAATGAAACACTTATATTTCTGGTGTGTAATTTAGCTGTAGTACCGGACTACAGCGAAATTACACTAAGACAGAATAAATAAATATTCATGCTTATCATCACGATCTCCCCAGACAGGAACCTCACAACCAAGTCATTGACAAAAAAGTCTAGACATTTAAATAAATGCTAGTATTAAGTAACTATGAAATTACAAACCAAGATTTCAGTTTTTATTTTGTATGTCGAAGTAAGAATAGTATTCGGCACCATGATATTAATATTAAGTTTAATTCAACCTGGACCAAGTTAGGACAGACTGCCTCACTGATGTAGAATATAGTAGTTTGCAACTACGATATCGACTCTAATATACCACATACCAAAAAGTGAGTATATTATTTATGTAAGTCGATAATAATAACCTCCTTTCTAAGGAGAGGCCAATGTCCATCAGTGGACTATTAAAGGCTGTTGATGATGATGATAATAATTCTGACTGTGACGACTACTAAACGTGTTGATATCCATCAAGCATTGGTAATCGTCTCAACAATCCATCATCGCCTTGATATACCATTTGCATAATACCCCAAGTTGTCCACCCACTTAAAAGCAGTAATAACCTCAACGAACAGGTTACAGAATATCCAAAATTACGAAACGTCGCTTTTCATGCAAATCACAAGAAAGTTAAACAACGCACTTTCCAATGAATCATAAAACCACAAACCGGCTTTCAAAGGAAATTACAACACCATATGTTTAATTAACCTAGAACACTGAAGTTACCCAAGTTTAAATTCTTATACTTTAATCGGTGGTAATCATTAACTTTAGACATTAGATTACATAAAAACTCGTAACACCGGTTACCTCAGCGTATATTAGATTGTCAACAATTAATAAAATAATTGGCCGCTCGCATTATCCATACTTTTACTTATTCATGTGGCATTTGTCGAACCGAGTTACAGCCGTCTGTGTATGTGTTTTATAAACGAAACTTTGTTACTCTTTTTCAAATTATAAATAATATTAATGTTTGTTATAATTATAATTTTAAAATAACTTTTTTCATTCGGTTGACACCAACTTTGCGAATGAAGCAGCAGAAAAAGCTACAAGTAATTTTTATTAACTTATATAATATACAACATACATATATATATTTAATTTATAAGAATCTTTACAGCCATTCCTTGGACACGATAGATAATTCTTAGGAATAAAGAGTTCTTTTCAAAATTTCATAATGATTTCAGATAAATTGTTAAAGTGTGAAAGCGTAAAAGTGAACTCACTTTCACATTTAAAACAAAAGTTAGGAAGTTAGAATCAGTGACAATTTATTACAATAATAAAACAAATTGCTTTAGTTTCTATATTTCCGTGTATTCCAAAAGATTACATGTACAACATTATATAATTTACAAAAATGTAATACTTTAAGAGACTATTAGTCCCACGCTGTCTTTGCACGACGGAGACAGCGTGTGAGGTGCATGTTAGACGTTCAAATAATTTTAACTCCTAAAATCTTCGATAAAATAAGTAGTTTGTTAGATCAAAGCCTAAAATATAAAATGAATATCAAATTCAATTTTATTTAAAAACTATTGCATTAATGCATCAAACCTCAGATTCTGTTCATAGCAACCACTAGTAAGTACTCGTAGGTACTTCTGATTGCATTAATTTTATACAAAACATACTTTTTTCTCTTTACAGATAATGCAGTCCCGGATTATGATAATTATTACACTGTTAGCGATAGTATGTACAACTAGCGAAGCTTTCCAAAATTTTTTTCAAAGACATTCAAGAGTACGTGAAAAGAGAAGCATGGCATCAGCTGTTATGGACTATATGGACTACGTATTCCCCAAAGATGACTTTGAATCAGAGATATTGAAATGGGTATTCTCAATGCTAACGGAAGATAGTTTGTTGTAGTAAATGTCAAGTAAACACAAAAATATTGTAATAAAGTGCTTTAATTTGAAAATGTAATGTGATGTTCAGTATAGTCAGTATTTTTATTTCATAATATTAATTAGCTGTGTAAAGACTTTGTGTTTTTATTTTATTTATTTTCTACTAAATTAATGTTACAACCTAAGTTACAAAGGTTTAAATATTTTAAACTATGCACAAATAATTTAACTTCATAAAGTTAACAAGTTAACTTGATGACATTTTAAAAAAACTATTGGTAAGTAATTACTTACCTGCAGTTTTTTCATAAGTAGGTACTAGGACCAGTGGAAAAATAAGTATGTTGCATTCAAAAAAGGGCCTGAGAGCCGCCATTGTCATGGAAACGTGATCAAACGAGTTTTGGTAGGCAGACCTAGCCATAAATCACATTAGTTTACAATTCATAATTAACAGCTATGGTTACTTACCTAAATATTACACCGCTGCACCTGTTTATTTCTTTCTAACCTATGTCTAAATTATATTTCACGCCCATAGGGGACCCTAAAGCAACAGAAGACAATTAGTGAAAGTGTTCTTTTTCAGTCGATCAGTGGTCTTAAAATGCAGTTTAATTTTAAAGTTAGAATTGCCACACACAAATTGAAAAGAACTCTAGAGGCAATGTTTCTCATTCATCTATATCAGTAAAGTGTCATCTGTAGTAAAAGTATAAATATGGTATTTTTTTTTAAATGAGTTACTATCCTCATGCTCGCTGATAGAAGTTAAAACAATAACACACCATATCGATGTTTTAACAAAATCAGGATTTATGTGAAAATGTAATCTGTCATGAAAGAACTCATTCTTGATAGTTTGACAGGTATTATTTTAGGCTTATATCATCATCAGTATCGCCATCCACTGCTGAAAAAAGGAGTCCCCCAAAGAGTGCCAACCATCCCGGTGTTGGGCAATCCGCATCCATCCGCTGTCAGCCATTTTCCCAAAGTCGTTCTGCTATTTGCTTTTATAGTCCATGTTAAAATGTTTATGACGATATAAATCACAGACATTAATTATAAAAGTTGATATCTATATTCATGCACTGGAATTAACGTTACCTATTGTATATTATTATTATTATTATTCTAAGGAGAGGCTTATGTCCAGCAGTGGACTATTAAAGGCTGTTGATGATGATGATGATGATTGTATATTTTCCAAACTATCTTTTTTTTATAATTACACTCATACAGAGAAATGAACTGCAATTTTAGAGTTATCTTATGATTTGAAAAGCATCAGCTTAACCAAGTGCTCAGTTTTATTTTACAAATCATATCCAGGCTCAGCGTGAAAATCCGGCAATGCAGTGAAAACTAGCTTTATATCTTAAAATTACTTGCAATGTTAGTGTTACAATAGTAATATTTCTATGGAGAAGCAACTAACTTATATTATACAATCTTACTTAGTATAGTAGAAAATTATATTTACTGGGATTATATCCCAGTAAATATAATTACATATATAAAAAAAAAATATAATTATAAATTATTATTATTATTATTAATTATTATTATTAATTATATTACATATATTTAATTATATATTATAGTGATTATTTTGGTTTTTGTGAAATTGATAGACAGACCCACCTTTATACTTTCCTGTGTTAGTTCACTCAGCATTCTAGACAAATCTTCATGATTTTCAGCGAAGACAACTATGTCATCTGCAAAACGGAGATGGCTTAGATATTCTCCATTAAGGGTCATTAAGAAAATGTGAAGAGGACAAGCTAGCAATATGCCAACGTAAAATGGAAAGGAGCATGTTAGGGATACGATTACGGAACAGAATTACTAACCATGAAATTAGAAAAATGACCAAAATTACAGATGTTACAGCAAGAATAAGATTACTGAAATGGAATTGGGCGGGGCATATATGTCGGATGGCTAATGATAGATGGACGAAAAAGGTCACGGAGTGGATCCCTAGAAACGGGAAAAGATCACAAGGAAGACAAAGGAAACGTTGGGCAGATGTATTCCTAGAAAGACAAGGACCTACCTGGATGACCAAAGCCAGAGACAGGCAGTACTGGAAGGAAATTACTGCTGGACATAGGCCTCTCCTTCTTTCTAAGGAGAGGCCTATGTCCAGCAGTGGACTATTTAAAGGCTGTTGATGATGATGATGATGATGGGATTATATGTGAAAATATGCAACCTTTACATGTGTTTGTAGAAAAACAGAATAAAGAATTATTATTATTAATTAGATTATTTAAAATTCAAATAAAAGTGTCAAACATCTTAGTTTGTTTGAAATGACTACCCAAAACTTGTTATCATAATTATCTTCTTGATATTTGCCAAATTCTAATGTGGTGGTGTATTGCAATGTTTCATGTGTTTCTATTCTGTAGAAGAGTTTCTCACATATCGTGAGCAATGAGTGTCACCTAAACCTATTGTTATTAATTTATCTTTAAGTAATTGTACTAAAACAATTTTAATATTATTAAATGTGTTATTATTAATATTTATAATCAATTTAATTTAATGTACGATATTATAAATAATAAAATAAAGTGTAATATTGTAATGCAATGAAAGAATTAATTAAAGGAATGATTGCATGCTATTACTTGAATGGCTAATTGAGTTTGTACATTTAATTAACTAACAAACTATCAGCACTCTGTATCCTCCTTTAAAGCAATTAAAGTATTTGTATTTGCAATGTGTAGCATTGAAATGGTATTTAGCAGGTTCCTTTTACGGCCGATTAACGACAGCCCTCATAGGTAATATTATAAACATTTTCAAGTGGGAAACCTAAAAAGTGAATTGAAAAAATAAAAGGGGGAGGGAGGTAGAAACAAGGGATAGTGCAAGTCTCGGATAAAAAATCTCAAACGGAACTGAGACTGTAGTAGCTCGAAGTCGAGGTCGCATACCTGTTTGCCGTCCTGCGATTGGAACACCCCAAACCACATTAACCATATTACACAAAGTTCAAATAAGAATTTTAGTTCTAATGAACTAGAATAAAAATTAGACATATAAAATATGCAACCTTGCAACATGTGCAAAAAGGTGACCTCGTTATCAAAAACCACTTTTCCACCAGAGTCAATACTAGAATCCAAAAGCTACTTTTGGCCATCTTTCGCTGCGTGATAATTATAAATCATGGAACGCCTAGTAGTATTGAAAAGAGTTGATGAATGGTGTATGGGGAGAAAGCGCCTGCCTAAAATAATGCATAATACATATAACATATAAACAAATAATAATATAATTGATTTCCATAGAAATTGTAAGGATTTACTTTTATGTATATGGCATTAACTTTCTATTATTCTTGTTAATTATTTTGAACTGACCGACTGAACTAAATAATTATGCTTCTAATGTGTTCTATAAAAATGTTTTGATTATCGTATACCAATATGTTGGACGTGTTTATAAAATATCGTCCAATTAGTACATTATGCAAGATTGTCCTAATTGAGCTCTACTTCTTTTACTTCTCTTCTACTTCTTACCACATAAGAACTAATTTGCCTTACACACACTAAGTGTAATTGTGGTTCAGAGAGGCCAGAGCACGCGTGTACCTGATTATACACAATACCTTTTGTTAACACCCAAACAACCACATAACTTAGAAATATCATTATAAATTAAACACTATATCAGACGTAAATAATCGTAGAAACATAATACTTATGAATTGTCTTGAGCACACTATTGTAATCAAACAGGTAATGCGTTGTGCGACGCTTCGACTTGACAGTTGCTACGAGCTTCTCGTAAGGAGCAAAATTAATCTTCATTTATCTACTCACAACCAAAATCTAGCGTAGACGATAATAAATCCAATCCAAAAAACAATTTTCACAAAAAAAAATGTAGATAGCGCCTTTTGAAAGACGCGGGATAGTGTTGCTAGGTATGTTTCCTGAAAACCTGTAGATTGCTGTCGGTTGCATCGAGATAAACAATAATAACGTAGATTTACAAGTTTTTTTAAATAGTAATTATACTTGTTTCATCAAAGCTAAATCTAACTATTCGAAATGGATAGATTAACCTCGAAAGCAGCAGCTCGTTAAGAAGGGTTGAATTAGCTACTTAATTTATTATAAATTCAATAAGTGTTGATATTTGCAATAAATTGATATAAAAAAAAATTGATTAATAGTATGTATTTAACGTTATGCCATGATAATGGCATTGATATAAATGGCTTGGCATAAATTATGCCTAATCACAATTTATGCCAAGTTAGAGCACCGACTAAAGGGCGCTGAAAAACAATCTCGCTCTACTCTGATCATAGGCTAGGGCCGGCGCTAATGACTGTATACATGGTTCATGTGATTACAGTACTTGGTAAATGTAACGATACCACACAACCATACATACAGACATACCATATGTAATAATGATCCTAATCACTCATACTCAGGTATGAATGACTAGTTTCATGTAATTATAAAAAATTGGAAGTATAAGAGGAAATAAGAGGGTATTGTGTGGTGATTGGTAAAAATAAAAAGGCAAGCACTTTCAGTACAATAAATTTTAACAGTAACTTATTAGAAGAATAAATAGTAATTATACATGTTTGCAAACTATACGGTTATCAGACGTTTCTACACACCTTGTTACGCGAGAAGGAATGACCGTACTGACACCTTTATGGGGATATATTTTACCTTTTAACTTATCTGGATTTAAATTCACAGGACTATCACTTGTACTTTCGTTTGACTCTCGCTCTTGATCGCTATTCACTTCTTCGGTGTCCCAAACTGGTGGTCTTCTTGAATTTGTGAATGGAGGTTCTATATACCCACACTCTACTCTCTCACCCTTCATTCTACAACCGTCAGATAGAATTTTGACATCATTATTACTTTCAGATTGGCCTACATTTCTATTATATCCACATAGTAATCTGTCATCGACTACTCTACAAAAATTGGAGTCAAAATTGTAAGGACAACATCTTCGGGCTTTCTTAGGTCTATCAGTAGCCTTGGTATCGGCAGGAGGATTATTCCTGCGGTAATTAAGCATTAAATAGTTTAGTAATTCACTAGAGATTTTACTTTCCTCTGCAACCGCTTCTGCGACAACAATCAAAACCTGCAACATTAGTACATATTTTATTAACAAGATTCAAGAAACCAATGTTGATAACCGTTCAAGTTCCAGTTTATTGTTTCAAACTTCTTTAAGTGAACAAAAGCTCAAGTAAAAAAACAAAACAAATAAATACAAAACCAAGAAAATCATGCTAGAGAAAATAAAAACTAGAATATCTTCTTTTATTTCATCAACAGCCTATACCAGTCCACTGCTGGACATAGGCCTCTCCTTAGAAAGGAGGTTTTGGCCTACTATACCACGCTGGCCAGACGGGTTGGTATAGGGTTTGTTTCAAGTTTTCCTTCTCTTTGCAGTGCTGTTGTCCTGCTTAGTTTGCTCCCTTAGTCGGCTCTTACGACACCCACTCCCACTTCGACACCCACTTCTTTTATTTAATTAGTTTTATTATAATTTTATAGATTATATAATCAGTACTGTCTGACACATATGAAGTTCTCAAAAAATAGTTGGAGACCGATTTACAAATGCGACTACATGGTCGCTTACAACGGACCTTGTAAGGAGGCTCAAAGATACCCAAAGAGCAATGGAGATGGCAATGCTTGTGGTTTCTCTACGTGATGGAATCAGGAATGAAGAGATCTGCAGATGAACCAAGGTCAGTGACATTGCCCGGAAAATTGCCAAACATAAGTGGCAGTGGACGTGGTACATTGCTCTTAGAAAAAACGGCCGATGGGGCCAAAAGTGCTCGATTGGCGACCAGGTAACGGAAGACGGAGCGTGGTCCGACGACCTGGCGAAGATCGCGGGAAGCCGTTAGATGTGGGCAGCATAGGACCGGTTGCTGTGAAGAGTATTGAGGGAGGGCTCTGTCCAGCAATGGACGTCATTCGGCTGAGATGATGATGAGGATTTACAAATACCTATATTTGTAAACTCTGACGAGCGTGGGTGGCTAGTGGTTAGTGATCATGCCCGCTAAGCGAGAAGACGTGGATTCGATTGTCATAAAGATCAAACCATTATGTGATGAGCACGATTATTTGTTTTGTGGAAGTCACCTATAATATGCATGGATAAGTATATTTATCAGCAGTCTGGTTACCATAATATGGGTTTTGCCTATTTTGGTATCAAGGGGCAGTATGTGATACGTGTTATTATTGGTTGTTATTTAATAATTATGGTTATTATTATATAATATTTATTAGGTAATTCAGTCCTTTTAATTGTAAATTATTGCAATTCATTAGTTCGGTTAAATATACAAATAATTTTATAAATACAGTTAAACTCTTTATTTTTATTTGATCGATCCAGGTTTTAATACAACCTGCTTATATTAAACAGGCAAAAACTTAAATGTCACAGAGTTTGGAATTGATATATACTTACTGGAATACATAAGTAGTCTGTCTACAATGCAATTACAAAAAGATGTTATAAATATGCTTCTGAGATTTGATTACTCTAAAAATACAATTCAATTCGAATAAAATGATAAGACCAAATGCCAAAACTTTGGGTTTTACGTGAACCATGTATACATATTTGACACAAAGCTTGGTTTCGCTATCCTCATCCAGGAACTCGCCAATATCATCATCATCACATTGGTACGTATTACTTACTATTAAAGTACTATTATTAAAAATTGTAGTTTAACTGAAGCTACATTTTATTATTTTTCACAACAACTTCTGTAGTTGTCACAGTCAAAATGCTAAACAACCACTAATTAAAATAATTCAAAATAAATAAATGTCTTACCACAAGAAAACAGCACGTGGTGCTACTGCTTATAAATGTCTGCATGTCTCTTATCACACAACACGGCTTTTGCATTTCAATCAACGCTGCAATGTGGTGGTACAGTTAACATCACGTACATTTATAAATATTACTTACAATTTCCCTTTCACAGTGTTCTTACTATGTATATTAATGATCATGTTCTTAAAATGGTAAAACACCCATATATTACTTGAACAACCAAACTATAGTCCGTTTTAACATCTTGTTTTCTATTCCAAGCGCTTCTAGGTCTATGAGACTGAGGTCAAGTTTATCAATATTAATATTGTCCAACATAATATGATTTTCCGCGAAAAGTTTACTCCAGTGTTCATTATTTTTGATGGCATTTTTAGCCCATTGCCAAAGTTGTCTTTTTACAGCTTGTTTCATTTTTTTTTTACTAGCACTGCTGCTTGATGGATGTTCTCTTGTCTGCGTCTCGTCGCAAAACTGACTGTTTTTATCTATTTCTTTTTTATTATATTTTCTTACAACAGATAAGATATGGTTCTTCATTTCTGAATCCGTTGCTTTAAATTTATCGTCACCATCGTCATCACTACTATTAAACAAATCATGACTAAGGACTTGCCATATTTTAGTACTAAGATTATATTCTACATTATTTTTAGACGGAATCCTTGATTTCTCTGGACTATGATTTGATTCGTTTTCTGTTTTATCATGAAAATGAAACGAAGGTTTTATATCCATAGCTAGATAGCTAGCCCTGTTGACTATTCTATGTATCATAGGCCTGTCGTGAATTTGTTTTGGTTTCTCTTCAATTTGTTCATGATTTCGTTTTATTTCCATTGCCCTAACTATTCTAGACCTCAATGGTCTTTCTTCAACTTCTTTTGCTTCGACTTTGTTACGGTGTCGTTTTATTTCAATTGCTTTTGCTATTCTAGTCATCATTGGTACTTCCTCAACTCGATTTTCATCAATTTTACCATGATGTCGTCTAACTTCAATAGCTTTAACTATCCTTGACATCATCGGTCGTTTTTCATTTTGTGTTATGTCAATAGATTCATGATTTCGTTTTAATTTGATAGCTTGGATTATTTTAGGATACCTTACCGACGAGCCTTCATTTTGTTTCAATTGTTTATCAACGCTACTTTTTTCTTTATGACTGTTACGTGAGTTGTTAGATGTATCTTGAGATTTTTTATGTTCATAGTCTTGTTTTTCTTGATGTCTCTTCTGTGGATATATTGGTTTCTCAATCCTGTGTTTGATTTCACTTTTTTTTACAATTGGTTTTTTCGCAACTATAGGTTTTCTTAACTTTTTCGAATGATTTGTACTGTCGACTTCAACTTTTTCTATATTATAAATGAGTTTCGAGAAAATGTTATGTTTAGTCTCTAAGCCCTTACTGTTACTATGAGACTTACTATGACCCTTTTCTACGAGTAGTGTCTTATCGTCTCCATGTTTACCTTTTGTGACCTGTCAACAAAAATTAAGGTAGTATGTAAGTGTGACTTACATTATTTCTATCTTGCACCTGTTACGTAATCACGTTAATTCCCATGTATGCATAATGAGCTAAAGAAATGCATGGACATTACGAAGAGAAAATAGAGACGCCCGATATTTAACGCGGCCAACAAATATTTCTTTTAGTAACCAGGGTATCCAAATCTAATACCATTTTTTTTTCGCTGAGATAGTAGTGGATAGGGGTTACTTACTCGTAGTTTAGAGGCTTGTAGTTCAGTTAAAGGTTTTCTTGACTGAACTCGGGGTGGGTAGTATTTGATTAGTTTGGAGGCAAAAAAAAATGATGTTTAAACTCATTTAAAAGCTGAAGACTTGAACTTTAAGATACTCTTTTTAGGCATAATAAAATTTGAAGATTTGGCAAAAATGGCGTTTTTTACACTTTTAAGTTAGAATATCTCAAAAACCTGACGTAATAAAGCAATTCTGGGGCCGAATTTGGATTCAGCGCACCAAAAACCCTTCGGGAAACTATACTCTAATTTCGGGCAAAGAAACTTTGTCAAATTTTGTAGGCCTGTGTAATCAATGCCCTCTTCATCTATCAGATTTCATTGGCTTACAGAAGTTGCATGCACCATTTTGATCCTAACAGATAGCGCTGTGCTGGTTTAAAATTTCATTAAAGCACTTCGATATTTTATTCGCATACCAAATGGAATGAATTTAACTTTTATAACACTAACTTTTACGTTAAACTAAATTTCCAAAGTACCAAAATGATAATAAGAGCAAAAATAATTGCTTTGCAGAATGAAGGCAAAAACTTATTGGAAATTGCGAGAAAGACTGGAGTAGCTGTAAGGAAGAAAAAATTACTAACTACACCTAGAATTTTTTATTATTGTTTTGTATTGTATATCCCAATGTTTACAGATTAAGCTATCCATGCAATTTTAAACGTATATGTTCATATTTATGTATGATGGAATGTAAATGTTCAAAGGTTAGTACATTATATACGATATGATAATGATATGGTACGAGATATGTACAATGTCTACGCTATAAGAATAGAGTCAATAAATATAAAGTACCGAATTCTATCAATAAAATGATACGATACACCATACTTAAAGCTAAATAATAGTATAGTAATAGAGAAACTAAATTTGAAATAACGTAATAAACAAACACAAAGCACTTAAGGAAATCATTATTGAGTGTTGAAGTTCGAGGGGTAAAATATGTTAAAAGTTAAGCAGATCGTATTTGTCTCTAGTGATCAAACTCAAACTCAAAATATCTTTATTTCATACATTTAAAATATTAAGTTTGAAATCTCTTGTGTAGACTCTATAAATCAACACACACAATAGCAACAATTGCTCTTTTGTTAAATATTTAGCAAACTAAATATATACGTGTCGGAAATCTATGAACTTATGCATGTGCCGATCTACAACCGCCCGTTTCCAAAGGGTTGAGCCTTATCAGAAGAAAGTAACACCTGGGAATTAACGATATTAATCATATAAAACTTTAGATAACCATTTTCTGAGTATACATTAACATAGGAATCATCATCCTACTGTACGAGCATATTGTATCATAGAGATAAAGATTTCTACCAATTCTATAAAAACCCGACCTAATGTCGACTAATTACTTCGAGAATATTATTATTATATATGTTTATTAATTAACCTTAATAATTTTGAATTGTAACATTGGTTCTGAAAAGAAGAATGACAAGCTATTTCTTTACCAGATCGTACTCTATTGAGTACGATCTGGTAAAGATGTATACCGAACAGCTTCCACTGTCAACAAAGAAATATAGAGACACCGTCTTCGTAGAATATGAAATGAAAGTGTACAAAACAAGTCATATCTCAACAAAGGTAAACCTAGCCAGTGTTATACCTTGTTTGTCCAACCATTGATCAAAACCCATCCACAACATAGTTTTACAAATTTCGGTGTTAGGTGAAAAATAATAGAAAAGTATATAATAAAGTATATTTTACATTAAAGACAATTAACTATGATTTGACATCAATTTTTTTTGTCGATACTGTTATTATGCTGGAAGACTTTTGACAAACTTATTTCTTTAATACTGTTCAACATGTTAGTTAATTTGCGCTTCGATGCAATAATGGAAAGCTTACTTCTTGTTAATAGAAATGATATACCTCGACTGTACTTATCTGCAGCCTCATACCGCGCTAATAAAGCATTAAATTTATTTTTATCTAGGCTTTTTGAATCTAGTTTCTCTTTAAACAATTGCAAACTTTCCAGTGACCCCTTATTTAAATTATCAAGAAAATTTTCTAAAATTTTTGTTTCGGATAAACTTATATCAAATTTCTTTTTTAGCAGGTCAACGCTTTTATGAATGTCTTCAATTTCTCTTTTCTTCTTTGCGCTTTCATAATCTGTTATTATTTGGATTATACGAGATTTATCCAGAATTTTCTCATCAAATTTGGACGTATGAGACAAGCCAGGTAACGATAATTTTCCGTCTTTGTAGTCAGTAACCATGTTTTCCAAAATTTTGGCTTTAGATCCTTTTATAGAAAATCTTTGCTTTATATAGTCCGCGTCCATTCCTTCGATCAGCTCCACGTGCTTTACATTTATTTTAGAGACTTTTACTTTGTTTTTGAAAATAAATATAATTGAATCCTTTTTAACAGATTTTTTCGTGATTGAAGTTGATTTTGCTTTTGATTTAATTGACAGTTTTGGAGTTCCTACGGCAAAATATTTCAATATAGTCTTTCTTTACGATTTAAACATTGTTATACTTATAAATAGTAAGTTTTTGTACTTACCGCTGGACATTGTAAAGCATTTACTGAATTGTTATTCTACATTTTAGTAAGTTTTATATATTAATCCGGATAATCGTCGGTGCCATTTAGGTATTTTAATATGTCTGTCATTATTTATAAAATTACAATTATTATGAATAGATAAACTCAGTGTCTGTCTTATATTAATATCATTTAACCTATACTATCAACTTGAAAGATACAGATACGTCTATTATTCCATTGCCTAACAATAGATAATATAATATTTAGAAGAGGTTCAATGCCTGAAAGAATATATGAAAATATGTTTCAGCAGTTCATATTCTAAAGAACTAAACGAATTACTAATAAATGTCTCAAAATTAAATATTTTTGAAATAACATGAATTGAGTATTTAAGAGGTGTTTGTTTGGCCACGTTACTCTATTAAAATTAAATAATAACCTCCTGCTCTATAAACTTTGCAAGTCTTAAATTATATTTTGGTTACTTATTTCTTTTGGGATCGACTTATAAATAATATGCGAAAGTTACTATATTATACAAAAGTTTCAATGTTTGTAAGTTTCCTTAGTCCTTACTGTCCTAAGTCCTATATGTACTATGGCCCTTTTTTACGGGCAGTGATATATCCTCTCCTTTTCAAAACCTTTTGTGATCTAAAATTATAGGTAATAGTGTGTACGTAGGACTTACAAATGTCATTCAAATGATATTATTTCTTTTAGCGTTTCGTTGCCTATTATGTTTGGATTTCGTATAATGGAAAAAAAGGATCATCACGATTACTGACACCTAAAGTAAAATTTTTATCAATAAGAACCACCAACAGAAGAAAGACATAGAAGTAGTCCAAATTTGATGAGAAAGTTAAGAAGGTAGTCAAAAAATGTGTACTGTTTACTGATTTACAAGAAAAACATTTACACATAAAACGAGAATTAAATAGTTCTAGCAAACGCGAACCACGGCAACCTTTCCAGAAGTGTACAACTAGAACCAAAAAAGCAGAAATACGTTCTAAATTATAAAGACGACGATACTGCGACGATGCTACTGGATTAGTACTGCAATAAGGCAAACCCAGACATACTGATAGTAGTTTCTAGTTGGTAGACAAGTAGTAGTTTAGTAGCGTATCAAAATAAGTTAACAACATGTTTGTTCCTACGCATAGCTTAGTACACTTTGCCTACTTATAACTTTTTAATTTCCATGTTGTACATTATAGTATAAGTTTGTTTTTAATAAACTGCAAGATATATAAGGCTATTGCGTCCACCAGTAGAACCAGTACGTCGCGTCCGTATGTCATAACGGGTCGTTATGACATACGGACGCGACGTTAACACTCACCTGGTCCGACTGATCCCCAAGTTTAAAGTGGCTCAGCATGCGATGATGGATGTTTCTCAAGTTGAGAAAATTGATAATGAAGTTATTCATCAGAGAACTAGAATAACCGACATCGCACTGAGAGTCAGTCATATCTCGAGAAGGACATGAGATGGACTTCGCTGGAGCCGAAATGTGCTAGACCGGAGACCGCAATTAGTCAAACGTAGTGTAAGGCGCTCTGCGGCACGATCACCGACGACGGCAAGTAGACACGGACTGCCCATCACCTTGATAGTTGGCGCTCCTTGGGAGAGGCCTTCATTCAGCAGTAGACGGCGATAGGCTAATGATGATAATGATATTTAAGGCTATAGATGAACTAGTCATACATTTTCAGTAACAACTAGCTGTACTGAAGCGCTTCGCTGTGATAAATTGTGGTTGCATTGGTGAGAAATGAAGAACACAACTGACGTGAAAAACAGGTAAAATCAATCTCTGAAGCAGGTTCTATCTAACATGTCTAAGCTCAACGGTGTGGAACTTATTGACTTTTTGAAGCGTACACAAACCAACTCAACATTTTATATATATGCAAACTATACAAGATTGTCGGTACATTATGTAAGAACTACCAGTGCTATATGATACTATTCAGTATTAATTCATCAATTATATATTTTTTATTAATTATGTGATCCGTATTTTCTCTAAATCTTGCACTAAGCTCAAAATCCTTCTCCTGGATACAATATTATCAACATTTGGTTTCTCTAAGATTGATAAAAGAGCCTTCTTTCCTTTTTCTATAGCAGCATAATCTGATAATATTCTTTTAATATCTGATTTATTGGCAATAGTTGAGTCCAGTTTAATTTTAGCTGGATCAAAGTCTAAGGGAATCATTTTCTTTAAATCCTCGGCTAGTTTATTTAAGGTTTTTCTTTCATTGCTCTTAAATTTTTCTTTATTTTTTGTTCCGTTTCTACTATTTTTAATATCTATGAGGTTTCTTGTTCTTTTTGCTTCATTATATTTTTGTAATATTCGATTCAACCGGATCTCGTCAAGTCCTTTTTGCTTCTTTGATAAATCTATTAGAGATATTTTACCTTCTTTATAATCTCTAAGCATCTCCGTTAATATTTTATAATTAGAATCTGTTAGTTGAAACTTTTTTTTTAGCTTATTTTCCTTCATTCCTTGTAATAATTTAATATCTTTTTCATTTAAATTTGATAGTTTCATAGTATTTTTTGTAGGCGTTCCTAAGTCTTTAATCTTATTTCTTAAAGCATCTAAATTTGCTTCAAGAATTTCATAATCAGCGAACTTTGGATCAGGAATACCAAAAATTTTCTTCCTGATGTATCTTCTTATTTTTCTGCTAAACCATTGCCTACACCTGGACGCGCAGCCAGCTTTTTTTTTATTCTGTTGCCCTGTTTGAATCTTCTTATCCCCTGGAGGAAGCGAATATTATCGAAAGACATGCATGCAGATGTGTTTAGCTCTACATTTGGATGTTATTTAGTTAGGATCAAAACTATTGACTAACGCGAAGGTATTATATACCTTTATTATAAATTCAACTGTACTTACTTTTTCTGCGACGGATGCACATTTCGTCGTATGGAGATATTTACTCATGTTATGTTACTAATATTGTCGTTGTAGTTCAGAAAAGAATGCTAGACGATGTATTAGTGAAAAGTAGTAGGTTAGTTATAAAAAAATGTTAAATTAAAGATGCATAGCTGATCATCCATTTTGTGAGGTAACTATTGAATTTTTGTTTGTTTTTATTAAAGTTCACATATTTACTATTTAATTTCAACAATATTTTAATAAATGTTTGTACACCAAAGCCATGCAGTTTTATTTTTGACAGTGACAGGCTAGCCAACGACTAAAGAAATGTATACCAATGATTGAAAACAGAGTATTACTTCACGTTCAAACTATCGATGATAGCGAATTACTATTCCAGAGTGGAGAAACCTACAACTAAAGAAACGTACACGTTAGACCTTGTTTGCTGTTGTTGTTGAGGTGACATAAACATAGACTACCACCGCCCATTGACAAAAGACACAAATGTGTTGATGGCCTTTGAAGTGGGACTCACTCTTGAAAGTTGTATCGTGTCGGCGAAACATGAAGTTTATTTTTGTTGTATGGCAGAAAGGTTTCTGCGGTAGCTGGTTTAATTCTGAACAATTCCTTGGTGTACTTCCCATAATACAAATGATAAAGAAAGCAGAGTGAGTAAGCAATGTCAGACGGTTAAGCAACTCTCAAATATGATGGCAATCAATTCAATTCGAGTGCCTCTCCGTTGAGTGCGTTTCTGAGAGAAGTACACAAAGCAATAAAAGTTGTTGCTTTGCAACATATCAGACACCCTTGTTGGACATCAGTATTGACGACCTTGATACTTCTGTCTGCAAAGAATCTGGTGACCCGGTTGTAAAATTTCTGAGTAAGATATTTAAGAAGGGAGCTTTGAAAGAGGTGCTTTGTGCAAGACTAGATCGAAGGTCTCGACTATATCCAAGATAACCGCCCACGGTCTCGATCGCCTGTGCCCACGGGTGAGTGAGTCAGGTGTACGAGAAGATCACCAACTAAGCGAACACGATCAAACTATACTATCAGACACAGAAGAGTTGGTTACCTTCTAAGTACCAGAAGGGCTGGCAATTGATAATAAATTCCTGTATCTTCGAGAACAAGGAGGTTATATCCAATTTTTATAATTGGACGGATCCGAGCAGTCAATTTGCACTATAACCGTCTTCCATGAGTTCGGGATTACGCTTAGAGAGTGGCAGAGCTAAAAAGGCGCATTAAAACTAATGAAACTGGACTACCGTAATACAGTTCTTATATCTTAGTATGATCAGTCATACGTCCTTTTGTATTACGGTGTAGAGGGCAAAGGACCAGGCTCATCACCTAATGAATTACTCAGTGGTATCATTGCGATCGAGCCTGCACAAGCCTGAAGTATTGCTCTCCCATGGCATGTCTCTATCATGGTTCACGGTTTCCCCAGTACTTTTAAGTCGAATTGGAAGCAAAGAGTTTGTCTAAAAGATCGGCTATCTCCTTAGTGTCATGAGCTAGAGAATTATCTCCTATGTCTAGATATGCAAGAGGTGGTCTACAGAATTTTCCCTGGATAGCCTTAGCAAGAGACCCAAATACGCGAGTTACAATACGACATTTCAACCTTCAAGAAAGCGTACTTCCACGTCACAGGCCTGACTGCTAGTTACTATCAGCTGATCTGACTGCTCCTGCTGCTAGAAAGATCTCCTTTTAACGACTCAATGAGTAGGTACACTGAAAATAGACTGAACAAATTTTGAATGATAGCTCTGGAATATGTAACACACTAAATTAACATACAATTCCAAGAAACTAAACTAAATAAAAACAAAGACAAACAGATACACACGTTAGTTTCATAACACTCCTTCTTTATGCTATTTTCTTCAATCATTGAACGAGTCTTGAACATTCATATTTATTATTAGTAAGAATAATAACCCAAGCAGATGCTTATAGTTTTGCTTACTGTACTTGCGATAAGATTTTACAGTTACGTGAAACATGTTCAATGAGTAAATCATTTGATTATAAAATGACATTATTTTCATTGGTAAGATTTTGTTCATATATCATACACATTTTGCATACAAATATCATTTTCGAATCTAAAGAATTACCGGATCCAAGACTCAAATAAAGTAAAGAAAAATTGGTAAATAAACATTTTAAACTTATTTTAATTTTGGGTGGCAACATGTACATTACCAATTTTTACTCCAATTTCTTTAATTTTACTGATATTTCATAAACTGAATTTGTAAAATAAATTGAAATTTGATTTTCGAAATATTTTTTAATGTATTTTTTGACAAAATACAATTTTATACAGTTGTTGAAAATCCATTCGAATTTTTTTTTTTTTTCATCTGACAAGGCAAGGTCAACATGTAATAAGTACATCATCAAATGATAGTTTTAGATATAGTAAGAATATTTTGCAAGTCTTCTCAAAGGTCAAGTCTACAGTGTGTTTGAACTTACATTGAAGCGAGACTTTACCGACTTAAAAGTTGAATGACATCATCATAAAAAGATTTATAATAAAAAATGCATTGAGTTTTGCCATGTACTTCGTCTATTTAGATAATAACATACATACATACTTGTACATAATGTACATACATATTCCACCGTGTTTTGCATGTTAAAAAAGACACAGGCACTTGATGATCAGCATTTAATTCTTTATCTATATAGAAGAAATGAATAAATTTAGAACTATCTTAGTTTGTACAAACATACACACAGCCCTTATATTCTACTTAATAATGAATAAAGGTTAGGCCATAGCTATCAGTAGCTACCAAAGAAACAGGTCTAATGTCCCATGACTACAAGCTTGGGCGATTTTTTAAGGACATTGGGCAAACGAGCAGACAGTTCACCTGATGGTAAGTGACCACCGCCGCCAATGGACACCTGGAACTCGAGAGTCACAAGTGCGTTTCTGCCCTTTAAGTCCTTTACCCCAAGAACTTCCCAAATTGCCACGAAATTTACCTGTTTGAAATTTCAATTCTATTAAAAGTCCGTCCGTGTGGTGACGGTTTAAGAATACGGAGTGTCATTACCCCTATTCATCCCGTGGGTGTCGTAAAAGCCGACAACAGCACTGCCAAGAGAATTAAAACTTGACACAAACGTATACCACCCCGTCTGGCCAGCGTGGTATAGTAGGCCAAAACCTCCTTTCTAAGTAGAGGCCTATGTACAGCAGTGGACTGTTAAAGACTGTTGATGTGATGTGAAAAGTTGGTTTGGGTTCCGGTAACCTCGCTCACTCGGTGAAAAGCAATGAAAGAATTTCTTTACACCGATTTTCTGTGAGGCCGTGATCACACTCCGGTCAACCTGGCCCTTATATACAGGCTCTCCCACGGTAAATATTTAAACTTGGATTTATAAATACTTTAATAATATTAATATTTTCATTTCAGATATGTTTAGTGTTTATTGAAACGGTGACGGTTTATTCTACACAAAAATTAAAACTCCCAGACTTTTCAAAAGGTGATACAATTAAATATGATCAACTTTCAAAATTTATTCTAGAAGACCCCTCATCATCCGAAGAGTATCTGTCTAATGATCCAATTGTAAATTACTTGCGTAATGAAAATCACGAACCAGGAAAACCATCAGATAGATCAGAAGGGTATATTTTCAATGAAAAGTTGTGTAAACTGATAAAAAAAAGAATTTTATGTGGTTATGATAGAAATAAGGGAGAAATAAGTGAAGAGAAATCTGTGGATATCGGCAATAACTGTATCATACGCAACGACAGAATTGAATGCGGGTATTTAAGTAAACCATTCAACAGTTCATTACATTTGAGATTCAGATCTGTTACCTTCACAGAAAGTTCAATTACTACAATAACAAATAAAACTGGTTCTACAGAAAAGCAGGATCACATAAACATATCTGAAAACTTTAATACAAACACTGAGCTACCAGTACAGTTACCAGTATCAAACACCTCTGAATCAACAATTAATGTCCTAAATACTCCTGAAAGGAGTTTTAAAGAAACTAGCCCTGTTACACAGCCATTGAAAATAGCACCAGATACTATATTATTAAATAAATCATCACCAGCAATCTTGTCTAGCAGTGTCCCACCAATAAAAACCGCAAAGGAATCTGACCCAACAACATCACTATCATCACCCATTAATTTTATTAAAAATATAACAAATAAAATAGAACTGCCAATTCATTCTGGCGTATTAAACAATGAAGCATATACAGAAAACAGAAATAAAACCGAAAGCGTAAGACAAGGGCTAATACGTAAATTGATGAACAACATCGAAAACAAAAAAGCAATTAGAAGGGAAGAACCACACATTGAGTCAATACCACCTTCAAAAAATTGTAAATGCCCTAATCAAGCTTCAATTTTAAAAGATTCATCAACAACATTTTTTTTAAGAGCGAGAAGGAATTCAAAATCTTTGAGAAAAGGAAATAATAAAACCAACATTAAAACAGCATGCGTTGAAAATAAAGACCGCATTGTATGTCTTGATTATAAACTAGAATAAATATCGGAGTTTAACTTTGATTTTGTTAATTATATTATTAGTTACCTAACACTAACTGTAAAATACCGACCCGTCTGGCCAGGGTGGTGTAGTAGGCTAAAACCTTCTTTCTAAGAAGAGGCCTATGTCTTGCAGTGGACAACTTAAGGCTGTTGATGAGGATGATGAGCTGTAAAGAAAATTGATTTCTTTATCGCTTAGCTAACAATTTGTGGATTACACAAAGTGTCGTCCCATGTGGGGATCGGACCCACAACACTCAGTACAGTTACATAGGCCATCCGTCCTATGTAAACCTTTATTTAAGTAAAATAGTTTTCTATTACTAGTAAGTGATGTAATTGCCAGAGTCTATTACCTATCAGATTATGAGTCTTCTGAGTCAGGGTCAGTTCTGAGTTGATTCTGAGTCAGACTTATTCATTCCGCTGGCCTAAATAATAATAAACGAAAATGTAGATTTTTTAGCACTCATCTACACTTCATACCTTTACACAGTTAACAAGTGTAAATAAGTTAGTAAGTACTACTGTATATAGTATCAAATGCTTGCTAAAATTTTTATATTTATTTTACGTACCTACTATTCAATTAATAACCTTTTGTAATTGCTTTTGTGATTGTTTGAATGAAAGATTAGGTCAACAAACTATGTAATTAAGACAAAGCATTAGAGTAAACGGGAATATATTCATTTAATTATACAAACTTATTATTATCTTTGCGTTTGTATTGCTTTCTACAGGTAAAAAAAACTTTTAAACCAAAAGAAGAAGAATCTATCTAACTACTATAAATGGTTAAATTTTTAAACTAGCGGTATTTAATCTATTTTTTTTCTATGAAATATGAAACTATCCTAGACTATTAAACCTTGCTAGATACTCGTACGTACATGGTTTTTAACATATCCGCAGTTTAACTGTCTTCTTTTTTAATATTCGCCAAAGAAAAAGACTTGTTTACATTTTTTTTCTTTTTGCTGTTATTAACCATCTACTTTGGCCCAGTCGGTTAACTATAATTTTAGTAATGGAAATTATAAAACAGTGTATAAACTGCACAAAAACAGTAAAAATAAAATAAAGGATATAAGTTATAAAAAAAAACTATTAGGCAAAATTTTGGCAATTTTTATAAAAATCTTAAAAGTCCAATATCTTGAAAATGGTTAGGTTTGGGATATGGTATTTCATAGTGAAATCTATCAGAAATGATGGCAACTACAAACGCTTAAAGTATTTAGGTCTACTTACCTAGTAATCCTGTATATCTGTATGTAGGTAATTTGTTTAGAAATGATTAATATTTCTGTCGAAACTTCTAAAATAAGAAGCCCCTGCCAAAATTAAAGACTATCGGAACAATGATCGCCGAATCCACATACTCGTATATAATATACAAATATTTTAGTTTTGAGGAACGGCAATATCAACAACATTTGCGTGACGCTCTAATCGATCTATCACCAAAATAGCAGGCTTATTAGCAACAATAGTCCTGTCTGTGATAATAAATCGATCCTAATACAACGTGGCCCGACTATTCTCGAGAACTGGGTCGGGCATATACCTGTGGTATGGCACCTCTAGATTCATAAATTCATCCACTGCAACTCCCACATCAGTATGTAGAAAATATTTTCTGAGATTGTATATCTCGCGATTGTGTAGAGTCTTGATATTTAATAGTCCGCGACCCTCAAACTTGGGATTTACAATCTCATAACCGATGAACGTGGGTGGTGCATTCGGAATGCAGTCAGCAGTGGACGGACTCTCCTGTCAAGGGCATCTAATTCGGTCTGAGTCCATCTAAGTATATTCAAATTCAAATCCAAATTATTTATTTCGGACTATTACATCCATATAGTGTCAGTATAACAAAGGAATACATCAGAGCCGGCATGACCCAACCATTGCTGATAAAAGACTTTTAAGTTCTTTTTTTTGGGGGCCAAAAAAGCGTTCTTGCAACGTTTGTTTTATGTCAGATTCTGGTAATTCCAACGACTGTGATATACGCAGATACTTGAATTTTTCAGTGGCAGACAGAGATCTGAGTTTTGTTGAATCTGAAAGCTCTGTTTCTTCAGATTCTACTATCACGACTGCACACTTGTCTACACCAAATTCCATCTGGATAGTTTCACTAAAGTTTTCCGTTGTCAATTGCAATTTAGTGGGGGCTAGTAGTTTCAAATCATTCATATAAAGAAAGTGGGATAAAACTTGATCATCTTTCTGCAACTATAGCCTAACCCTGAACCCTCTAATAGAGTGCTGAGAGGATTCAAAGCCAGATAAAACCACAAGGGACTCAGACTACCACCTTGAAATATACCCCGCTCGATCTTTATTAGTACATCGTTTACCGTAGTCTGCCGACATCCTGGATAGCGAAGAGTGCTGTTCTCCAAGTGACTCTGAGACTCTCCTGCACAGAGTTGTACTAATGTAAATAAAAATGATTGTTTCCTTGTCGTTGTATCGTCAAATATTACATATTATAATAATATTTTAAATAAAAACTACAACTAATAAGCAACGGGAGTAAAACTTATTTGGCGTTCCATGACTTACGTACGTTGTTTTAATTAAGTCCATGGTAAGGTTCATTCGTCCGTTTTACCTATTAATAAAGTTTTCAAAGTCCTGATATGTTATTAGTAGTCACAAAGTATTTTATCCGACATAAGAAAAAGAAATACCAAATGGCTACTATAAATACCAAATACTCTTCAAGAATTTTCAAGAACCACATCTCATTAGGTTTCTCTACGCAACAATCAACGTTACTAATAAGATAGACTCTAGTTTTTTTTTTTTTTTGGTTTAAAATTATTTATTCTCATTAAGAATTATGATACAATTCACTTAACATGAGAACATAATACTAATACACAACGTATTTTATTTGTGAGCACACATAAAAGCGGTATCAAAATAATAATGTTTTTGACGGTTACCTACACTAACTTCGAGCGTAGACGGAGTGAACATCACACTACAAAGATGTAAGATTTTAGTGCGCCTCACTGGAAACGATATTTTAATTTTTGTCATCAATATTTGTAAGATGAAAATTATTTTTAAGTGTGTTTCACTTTATTCTATATTTATTTAGCTTAATAGCTTGTTTGTCTGATTAATATTAAGATTCATACTTTTAGTAATTACTTGTAGTTTTTAATTACATGATCTTTAAGCATTTTTTTGAAAGAAGTGATGGATCGCGATTCCTTAATATCTTTAGGAAGCCTGTTATATAACTGCGCGCCTTCATACATGAGATTCTTTTTGCCATAGTTGGTGCGCGGTGGTTTCAAAACAATATTATTAGCACTTCTTAATTGAGTCTTTTGAACGTCTCTTTTTATGGTGAAACTTATTTGTGTATGGATATCGCCGCCCAATACTTTACGCACCAATAAACAGGTATAGTATACGTAAGTCTGGGTTAGATTTAGTATTTTTGTGTTTCTATACACTATTTCCGTAGGCGTTAGATAATCAAAGTGAAAAAGGACCTTTATTAGCCTATTTTGGGCTCTTTGTAGTAAGTTTAAGTTAGTTTTGGAGGATGTGCCCCAAATCTCTATTAAATAATCAATATGGGACTTTACCAGAGAGTTATATATAAAGTAACGCACTTTACGTGGCAGACATCGTGAGATGGGTCTTAAGATTCCAGTGAGAGATGATAGTTTGGATTTAAGTTTTTCTATGTGACTTTGCCATGTAAGGTTGCTATCAATAATTAGCCCAAGAAATTTTTCGCTATTTGTTTGATTGATACTTTGGTTGTCTATTTTAAGGGAAGGATAGTCTGAGATTTTCTTATTTTTAGCCTTAAACAGCATGTAATTTGTTTTTGAGATGTTTATGGTTAGTAGGTTGTATTGAAACCATTTGTTGAGTAAATTAAGATCATCTTGGGCATTGGATATGACTGTATCTATTGAGTGGTCAAAGTAAAATAAACCAGTATCGTCGGCATATAACGTAACATCACCTTTAAGACTCAAATCATGTATGTCATTGATGTAAATAAGGAATAACAAAGGCCCTAATATTGATCCCTGAGGAACGCCGTACGTAACAGACTTGGGATTGACAGACTTGGGAAGATAGACTCTAGTTTATTTTAAACTACATCAACTGCTTCAAATAAATCAAGATATAATGAATAGTATATTTATCACACATCTTATACATGAAATTACACAATATGGTATTCCCCAAGTAATACGGATGTTAAAACGTACCGATCGCTCACAACAAGTTTAGACTTCCAATCTGGCAAGAAATATACAAAAAAACAGTCATAAGGATCATTTAATATATAACCATATTTCACATGTTCATAGTCACAGTAAGTCATAAGAGGTTATATCAGAGGTCCGCAAACTTTTTTGTCTTAAAGACCTCCTAGAATGTTTCCCTTGTCTGCATACTAGCCCCCGTAACTAATATTGCATCGTGAAAATACTGTGGGCTTTTGTTTATTGGTTGAGGAACGAATGTTATGGCCCCCTCCTGCCTCCTCTCCTCCAGCACAAAGGAAGGATCCTCCAATCAGTCTAGGTGGCCATGCCTAATGTAACGCAGCCTAACAGCTAACAGCAGGAGAAATCCAGGGACGCGCCAATGCTGCTCTCGAACACGTCCGCGAGTGGGGCGTTGCCAATAAACTTACTTTCGCGCCCCACAAAACGATGGCAATGACCGTAACAAGAAAAATCAAATATGACACCCCACGGCTCAGCATGGGGGGGGTCAGCATTGGAGCGTCCAAGGAAATGAAGATTCTGGGAGTCACTATCGACCAGAAGTTAACTTTTAACAGCCACGTCACAAACGTCTGCAAAAAGGCTGTCGGGGTGTACAAACAGCTATCCAAGGCAAGGGTAAGCTGGGGCTTGTATCCAGAGGTTATCCGCACAATCTATTTGGCAACAATCGAACCTGTAATACTCTACGGGGCCAGCACCTGGGCGCCGGCCGCGAATAAACTGGGTGTGCGGAAACAACTGGATGCGATACAACGAGGGATGGCCCAGAAACTGTGCAAGGCCTACCGTACAGTTTCTTTGAATTCATCACTGGTGATGGCGGGTATCCTCCCCCTCGACCTCCGAATACGCGAGGCAGCTCTCCTTTACAAGAGCAAGAGGGGCATCACCTGGGGAGCGCTTGAGGATCGAGAGGTGGAGCGTATGGCACGAGCTATAGAAGCTCCACACCCGGCAGAGCACATATACCCCGACATAAACCTGATCGCGGACAGGGCCAAATATCTGCAGAGTGACAATGTGGCTGTTAAAATCTTTACAGACGGGAGCAAAATTGCAGGTAAAGTCGGAGCCGCTCTGACGGTATGGAAGGACGAGATAGAAATAAGATCGGCGAAATTTGCACTCTCCAATTACTGCACGGTCTATCAGGCCGAGCTCCTGGCATTACACAGGGCAACGAGGGAAACCACATTGCGTCCGGAGTCTGCGTTTGGAATCTATAGCGACTCCATGGCCGCCCTCCAAACCCTACAAAACCCCCGCTCCTTCCATCCGCTGATGGTGGCAGCTAGAGACTGCCTCAAAACGGCGTCTCTCCAGAACAAAACTGTCGCCCTGTTCTGGATCAAAGCACACGTGGGACTGGAGGGCAACGAGAGAGCTGATGAGCTGGCCAAAGCGGCGGCGGAGGGATCCAAGCGCAGACCGGACTACGACCTGTGCCCGGTTTCATTCGTCAAGGGTAGCATTAGGAATGCAACCCTCGACGAATGGAACCAAAGGTACGGGAGTGGAGCAACGGCCTCGACGACAAAAATGTTCCTGCCTGACGCTAAGATCGCGTACAGAGTGGTCAGGAAGATCGAGACCACGGGTGTCAGGACCCAGATCATGACAGGGCACGGTGGGTTCTCCGAGTATTTGAATCGCTTCAAATGCAAGGAGAGCCCGGCGTGCATCTGCGATCCAGGGGTAATGGAGACAGTGCAGCATATACTTTTTGAGTGCCCTGTGCACTCAAAAGATCGCTACGATATTGAACAGGAACTAAGTACAAAAATTGAAGCCAAAAATATGGCACCTATTATGATGGGCCCAGATAGGGACAAATTGCTTAGCTACTGTGTCAAAATTGCAAAAATGGTCATAAAAAGAAATGAAGTGAAGTAATAAAAATATGCTGTCACAATATTGTGTGTGATATTTCTGTACAGCATATAAATCAAACTAGATTAAGCAACTAGAAATAAGCATATTGTAAATAGTAGTTAAGCCACAAATTGAAATAGTTTTAAGCAAAAAATGTTAACTGTAAATAAAACATGTAGATTAAGGCCCTACAAAAAATAGCGAGTAAGTTTGTCATAACTGTTGTAAATAAATTACGGTGTTGTTGAATGAGCAGTAGTTTAAGGCGAATTGTACATTATTTTAAGTATAAATGTATCCAAAAATATATATAGATATATCCAATAGAAATAAAAATGTTTAGAAAATAAGTTAGTTAAAATAAATTTCGTAGTGTAAGTTCACTGATCTATACCCTATAAGAAATAAAGATAAAATATTACAGATTAGGTATGATAGATGGGAGTCCCACCCATACTGTAATGCTAAAAGGAATGAAGGAAGGAGTTGGCATGCAGCATAAAAGATACTAGAACTGGAGTGAAAGTGTAACTATCGATTAGGAAGGTCTCCAATTACGTTGGAGGATCTAGGCTGTAAAAAAAAAAAACAGCTAATGTTAAATAATACTAATCAGCGTGAGAATTTTCATTGCGCAATCTAAATGCATTTTCTCCTTAGTTTGATGCGTATTTGTAAGATGGTATTGAATTATATCGTTGTATGTGGAACTCACCACTTTCTATGATAGAATCTGAGACAAGAGTGACAAAGAAACTCTACTTTATGAAGGCAATAGTCAATTAATATTTTTTCATTGAGGAGGGGCTAACACTATTATCTCATTACTATAAGGCTTGGCCTTGTTTTTACAAGTTACAAGTTTATTTTTTATTATGACCATAATAACGAAAGTCCTTTTACGAGTATATAACAACATTTTAAAAGGTACACTAATTTAGTACTCATATCATAGAATAAGGAGATTTGTTCCCTTATAAAACTCACAGCGTGCGAATACCAGTAGTACTGACATTACAGGTGTTACGACTCGAGGAAAACTTCTTAAATAAATTTTGAACCATTAGTAGATAGTGAAAAGACCCCTGGAGTCTATACAGATAGAGACTTTGAGCATCAGTGGATTGTATGAATATGCACAAAACAAAAACAAAGAAACCACTTCAATAGGTACTTATCATGAATTATCGTATGAATGTTACATTAATACACCTAGTGTAGGTATGTCATTTTGTTAAAACGTATACTTTACATGCATTGAATTGCACTTGACTCTAACAAGAATTAACACAATTAAAGTAAAATTCTTGGCAATTGATTTGTACAAACGAAAAATAGTCTTTATATTTCCAAAAAATTTTAAAGAACCATCTAACGATGCAACACACTGTGGGCAAGGCGACAAAAAAACCTAAGAAATACATATTGGAATTTTTTAGTACTAACAGTTTCTAAGCGAAGCTAAGGACGATCGAACTGAGAAACAGATGGAAACAGTGAAACTATAAGAGTTCCCTGTTATAACTACCGAATACTAAAATTGATGTGTGATAAGTGATATAAATTATGATAAATGACTTAAACTCACCATAAATATTTGAACATCTATTAATACACTTGAGAGCAACAAATGTTTTAGTATATCTGAATTTAAGTTTTCATTTGTTAAGTTTTTTAGTCAAATCAGCAGTGATTCGTGAATACGTACTTTAGAATTAATTTTAAGTAAATAAACTAAGTAAATATATGTGGAATCTTCTGATGACATAAGTAGTAGGTAGTTATAAACGATGCTCTTAAATGTCTACCTATGCCTTTATGCGATGCGCACTTTGCCTTGGTAAATACTGATTACTACACAATAATTGTCATGTCCGTTGAAACTATACATTACAATACAGTCATTATGTATGGCGTCAATCTATTAACCATTTGGAAAATATCAAGATTTGTAATATCATATCACTGATTTCTCAGTATTTTGTGAATAATAAACTTCATCATCAACATCTTACTTAGAGTTTAAACACAATAAAATACTAACTTAGAGATTAAAAAACAATAAAATAAAATGAAAAAGTTGTTTGCGTTTCATTTTAGTCTTTTCGTCACATTTGTCTTAAAATATTTTCGCATATTTTTACTTATTGTTATTTTTTCAGTGAGTTAGTAAGCTACGGATATGATGCGTACTATTGTGCGGTTTGTGATAGGTTTTACAGATTGACTTACTTTACTTATTTTACTCTCTCCGCTGTAGGACGTATCTTTGATGTAAAAAGATAGTATATAATTTTATAGTTTAGTAGCTGAGATTAGCCCTCATTCACTGCTTAACTACGTCGGACATCTCTAGTGAAAAGTCAAGCGCTAAACCATATGATAATAATCATAAATTGACAAAAAACCATATGTAGAGTAACGGGCGTTATGTATAGGTCCCTCCAGCAAATAGGGAGGATCCTCAAACGGGGGTGGTGCCTTGCAGACTGCGGTCCAACGGTTGATATTGAGAACTATATATGGACGTAATAACTTTAATTGCGTGATGCACGATGTTACGCCGTAGTTAAATGTATCTCCGTTACAGGGTACCATTTTTTTATTGTATACGGAAGTCGTCACATATCAAACCGCTGTCATGATTCGATAGTGTAAAGAATTTTAAAATAAAAATATTTATTAAACACTTATTTGTAACTAATTATGGCAATTCTTTGGCCCATGTTGCCAGGCTCTTTTAAAATACCAAGTTTACGCTACTTTTTTTAAACTATATAAGTGTAAGATTGCAAATGGGATACAAGTTAAATATTTAGATTATAAAAATTTAAATAATAAACTGTTTTTCATCATTCATTTATTACTCTTTTGATATTCATCAAAGTGTAGCCAAATAATATCAAATAACATTTTATACATAAACAATGAAAGATTGCATTGGATACATAATTCATCTAAAATGTTTGTTACAGCCGTAGGGACCTCTTGGTTCAAATATTATTAATTTTATTTACTCACTTTTGTCCTCAGCCCAAAATCGATCTAAGTGGCGTGCAATGGGAGAGGCCTATGTCCAGCAGTGGACTGCGATAGGCTGATGATGATGATGATAATGTCCTCACTGATCAAGGTTATGTTAACAAAATAGTTGTGATTTCAGATCTAGACTACTTTTGACAATGACAATACGCAAAGAATCGAAAAGGTGCAAATATTCTGCAACAGAATTTCAATTTGTGCCTGTTACGAATATGCAAAATAAAATTTTAGGTCCACAATTCAATAATGACTTTGAATTTTTATCCTTAATATAATAAAAATAAGTTCAGTGAACCCAAATTTCTTATATTTCTAATATAGATACTTTACGGATATAGTTGTGGGTATTTACAGGCGCTTAGTCACAGGGCAGTGCTCGTCTGAGGTGTATATAAATAGGTCTCCACTACAACCAACCACCATCATTACTTTGGAGAGTACGTGACAATGAACACTGTGAGTATATCTCAGTTCCATACATTACATACTCAGTATATCTCAGTTTTATGGGTTTTTATCTTGATTATTATTTTATCATATTATCGTACTTTTTAGGTTTATATAAAAATATATAATATATAAAAATACTGTTTGCACAGTACCTGGAGATTAATTTCTTTAATAAGAAATTTTCAAGATAATATATTATTACCTAATTTAGTAATCCTGATCCACACATTTACTTTGGGTACAATAGCAAGGGTATTGTTTGATCTTCACTTTCTATCAATGTTGATCAATGCGTATAAAATAAAGATTTACATTTTATATTATTTTACAATTTCACTCCTGTGTCCTGAAGGGATTAGTTTACGTGCGTAACGTCTACCATATACTTTGACAGATTACGGTCTACTGTTGAACGTTTCTTCAACAAAAAGACTCAATAACAAATGACTAACTGACATACTAATAAAAATATCATACTAAGAAAGTCGAATGTAAATGTTTAATGGTCAAATAAAGAGATAGTTATAGTTTTATAAAAGTTAGATTTTTTAAGACATATGATGTCACTGCTTTAAAGAGAATTCTCAAAACTTAGGCTATTTGGGAATATTTGTCTATTAGGAATATATCGTTAAAATGTGTATATCTTCAATTGTTTCGAATACAACTGTGCAGTTGCTGTGTGTTGCGGTTCTGCTATGTGCGTGTGTGGCATACGCATCAGCTCTGCCAGTGGAGGCAGTTGCAGTTAATAAGGTGCAGTCAATATCACCTTCCGATACTGCTGAAGAAAGTCTAGTACCCGAAGAGAGTCACTGGTTCAGAAGAGGTTATGGCGGCTACGGAGGCGGCTATGGTCGTGGTTATGGCCGAGGCTATGGCAGAGGCTACGGTGGAGGCTTCGGTGGAGGCTACGGCGGTGGGTATGGAGGAGGCTTCGGAGGAGGTTTCGGAGGTGGATTTGGAGGCGGTTTTGGTGGCGGCGGCGGCGGTTGGGGACGCTAACCACGCGTTCAAATATTAAGTGTAATCAAAGTAATGCCTCACTTGAATATCGGTATTAACATCTGTGATGTTTTTGAAAGTTCACAATAAATAGATTAATTAATATTGTTTTTTTTTTACCCTATATCTTTAGTAATATCTGTCTATAATTCAGCTAAATTAAAAATGGAATCTATAAATTAGTTTATTATTATAAGTTTTATTAATATTTAGAAAGCTAATACTGTAATGTTATCTCTCTTTTCAGTTAAACATTACGTTTTTATTATCATTGAGTTTTGCAGAATCTTAGTTTGAAATATAATAATAATAATATTTATTTAGATAAAGAGTACAATAATTTATAATAAATGGTTCTCTAATTTATAAATGAAATACATTTGTTGTTTGTATGCCCGAAGGCCTGTGTCTCGGGCGAAGAAGTGCTTACAAACTATTTTACCAAAATTATTTAAATTATATATTAAATCTACATACCTACAATTTAATTATAACATTCTAATAGCCGACATAAGCAACTAGCAACATCAGTGATAAGTGGGTCAAAAATAATGCACTAAGATCGTTCAGCAAATTTTCATTTACATATTTCGAGTAACTGCTCAGTTTGCTCATACGACAATATTTGTAAATAATTATGTAACATGTTTTTACAGCTCTCTATTAGCTCTCTCTCTCTTTAATCTATTATATAGAAATGTACATTATAGAAAAGAAAGTAATCTATTTGAATAAATGAACTTTGAGCCTGATTGTGAGGTACAGACTATATCTTTTCGGCTTTTGTTAGAGATATCAGCGTGATAGGTAATTAATGTATGTTGTTTTAGTACTGTGTGATTTATAAAATTTTGGCAGACTGTCATCACCTTGCACGCTTTATATAATATAGTTGTGGGAAATAAGAAAGGTCGAGAGGAGGCTACTTTTAGAATCGCTCGTTGAGCTCTTTCTAAAGGCACAATAATAGTTTTTAGTGCTCCACCCCATGAGGTTATACAATATTGGATGATTGATTGACATAAAGATAAATACACTTGAGTGATCAACTTTGAATCTGCTATAGCTCGCAATTTTTTAATTACTAAACTAAACTTTCAATGTGTGTCCTAAAGGAGAGGGTATTGTCGATTATGATCCCTAGATATTTTATGTTATTTGTTTCCTGGATAGTAGTGCAATTACACAAATGGTGTGCGTATATGGAAGTGTTATCTAGAAGCTAGCTAGCGTGTTGATTGTTGCGCATGGGAAAGTGAATATATTTAGTCTTGTCAGGATTTAATGTTAGATTATTTTTTAACCAAGTATATACAATATTAAAGCTGGGCGCTCTCATATAATTCGAGTTCTCTAGTAATAAAATTAGTTAAGTCAGGAACCGCGTCACCTGTAGAAAATTTAGATCTAAAACCATATTGTGGTAGGTGTGTGTCGGTATTTAACTAACCTAGTGTTTCTAATTTTTTCTAATATTTTTGAATATGAGGGGAGAATCGATATAGGTCTATAGTTGCTGGCTAGATCTTTGCTTCTAGATTTGAAAACAGGAATAACTAGCGCTTTTTTCAGGCATGTAGGAAAAATCCCTTCAGAGAGGCAGAGGCGGAAAATATACGTAAGCAGAGGTACAAGAATGTGCTTGAAACGTTTAAGAATTTTAGTACTTATATTATCCCAGCCGACAGCACAATCTTCACGTATATCTTTGATGATTCGCTCTATTTCGCCTCCATCAGTGTTTAGCATGAAAAATGACTTTAGACTAAGGTTAATACTTGCTTTTTGGAGAAGCGTAGAGTATGGTCACAAGTTTGTTGCTGAGTGCGTCCTGCAAGAATTTCACCTACTTTTACAAAATAATTATTAACCTTATTAGCTGACAGAAATGGCGAAGTATTAGCATCCAGTAAACTCGATTTGATTTACAGTTTTTTAGAGTATACTATAGTGATATAGTATTCTTACCTGCTCTATGCAATATATAATTATCATAGTTACTTTTAATTTTTTCAAAAGATTATTATAGAAATTTCTGTACCTCTTGTATGTTTTTTAAAGCGCCAAATCATCTGGAGATCGAAGAGCACTCTGGTGGAGTTTAGCTCTATGTTTAATACATCGAACTAGACCAGGGGTTATCCAAGGTTTAATATTGCAATACTTCTGTGGAGGAACGGATGTCGTGTCCCTCCAACATAAAGGGAGGATCCTCCGACCAGGCGAGGCGAATCATGATTGGCGGGCCGCTGCCCAACGGTTGCTGTTGGGAAGTTGTATATACGAGTATACTAATCGGCGAGAGAATTCTTCATATCGTGATACAGGATTAGCAATTCTCATTCAGGAGTTACTCTAGTTCGTTATGTCTTCGTTAGATGGCGCTGTACCAGGTTTCTGTTTTCTTGTATGTGGGAGTCGCCACATTTATTTTTCAAGATAATTTTAGATGTATTAATTAGTTATTATTATTATATTACATTGTAATATTGCTTGTTCTACTTTTTGTATTAAATACGATAAAGATACATTAGCGTCAGCATAATTGTAAACTGGGCTAAAATCAACATTACAAAAATCATACTCGAGCTTGTTTATTTTTAAATTAGTCTTTGTTGTAGGTCGATTTTGCCTAGGCAGCGTAAAATTTACGCGAGTAGAACGGCGTGATGATCCGACGAATTGAAAGCCGACTAAGTGTCAACCTGACTTTTTTGGTAGGGCTTTCCAGAGGACTACAGACTGGATAGTGAAAGATGAAGAAGCTTTATTTGTGGCTTTTTTTGTTTACGGGGTCGAAAATCCCTTCGGATCTCCTACTCCTCGGAGACTCAGGAGCCAGGAGTTTTTTTTTATTGGGACTAATCCCACCCACACGCCCACCACTGTAACTCCTGTACACCAGGATCAGTGCAGCGACCCACGAACACACCGAGTTATGACACTCGGGAAGTCCCAGGAAGAAATGAAACTGTCTTGGAACCCGCAACGAAATTAATCAGAAGAAAATTGGAGGAGTTGGAAATACAGTAAATCCACTTACCTCCTTACCAAAGCGGGAGACAAAATGAAGTAAAATGGGCATACACCCTTTTAAACAGGGTAGCACCACGGCCACAAAATATTACGGGTCCTACGTGAGCTATTATTTGATTTCTATAAATATGTGTGGCAGAATCGCCTAAACGCACGGAAATTCACCCTAGTTGACATAAGATCCCCATAGTATACCGCCCAGATGTCACCTGCAAGCTATTCAGCATTATATTACGTTCATTATACCAAAGACTACATTCCCAGAGGATATGACGAGCAGACTGTTCGTAGTGAGAGTTAGGTGTTGAGCATTGACACAATGGTGACTCGATTAATTTAAATGAATAAAGCTCGCTCTTAAAGTTACCATGACCCGTAAGAAATTGAGCGACACAGTAATCCACCTCAAGCCATGTCCTCGACAACTTGGATGATTCATCCCAGCGTTGTTGCCATTCGTCTATGAGGTCATTATAGACATCGGACTGCTGTTGAAGCAATCTTGTAATTTTACCGCGATCCCGGGCGCCCAAAAAAATTGCATTCCATGTTTTGTTGGAGCCAGGAGTATCTGGTGATTCCACTAAAAAACACCCCGGCGGCCGTCCTAAGGTGTCCTACTCTGGGAGGACCCGGTCCATGTTATTTAGGTCCTCCCCGAATTGACACCATGCCTAATCAGGCCCTATCCCAGGAGAAAACACTTCTCCCCTCAATCGCGGCGTGGCGAGTTTAAATTGTACGATGAACTGTCACTCATATCAATATATGAGAAGTCAATACTATTGCCTATTGGACATTGACATTCTCATTGTTTTCATATTGAATCAAATCCCAATTTCGATCCAAATTACTCAGCGATTCTAATTCTAAAAGTTATAAGGTATAATTTATTTATTAATTTCAAACATTTGAGGAGTGGATATAGCCGTACAGGTGCTAGTTATAGTCAAATTATTTAAAAAAGTGCATTTTGAGAGTTGAAGTTTAGGGTTGGGGTGTCTACAAATCGACAATGAGCATAATTCAAATTACAAATGAATTTACAAAACATCGTTATCATATCAACAACTAGTCCACTGCTGGACACAGGCCTCCGATAGTAAAATCCTTAGAAAGGAGGTTTTGGCCTACTATACCACGCTGACCAGACGGGTTGGTATAGGGTTTGTTTCAAGTTTTCCTTCTCTTTGCAGTGCTGTTGTCCTGCGTAGTTTACTCCCTTAGTCGGCTCTTACGACACCCACGGGATGAATAGGGGTAGTGACACTGTATTCTTAATCCGTCACCACACGGACTGAAACATCGTTAATCGTTTTTAAATATTTAAATTTGTAGCTAATCATTAAGTCTGTTTTTTTAAGAATTATGCGCTATGTTCAACAAATATTGCTAAGTAGAATACAAATTCAAAATGTACATTAAAAATATTCAAAAACGAATGAATAATCATTATTAAATCAAAGACTACTTTACTTCGACCTACCTAAGAACTTGTTAACAGACGCAAAAAAAAGAAAAGTTAAGTCACTCTTTGCAGTTCCAAATCAAATCTGTCCAACAATATTTTTCTGAGGTCGCTTTAATTCGAAACCAACATTTTTGATATTAAACATCGTGGACACAACATGTGCACTATCATTTGTTCTTTATCTGGGTGTAATTTGTCTATAATATATGTATTGTAAGTATGTATTTAAAAATATATAAGTATGTTTCTCAACAGTCTGGTTACCATAGCACAGGCTCTGCTTCGTTTGGGATCAGACGGCCGTGTGCTAGATGTTTGAGATATATTATATTATTATGCGAAGTACATATGTAATGTAACATGCGGTGTGGTGACGTCGCGCCATGCGTAAGTGACTGCTTATTATTTCTACATGATAATTTCGGTGTTTTATATCTGCCACACCTCCAGCGACTATTTTTTTTTTTTGTTTTACGCCTCTGAACCATGCCAT